GGCCAGAGGAAAAGCTGCCAACTGCCTGCCACCTCCCATGGGGGTTACCCACTGTGCAAGCCCACCCAGAGTCAGCGGGAAGAGGGCCTCTGATGCTGTCGGAACAGGTCAGCCTCCTGGGACATGGAGCAAGTGCAGAAGCCTGGGGAGTGGACCCCGGGGAGCAAGCAGCACACCCCGCCCCACCCCCCGTCCTAGCCCTGCCCTTGGCATGGTGCCTTGCACATATTGGAGTTCAGCACATGTTTGTTGAATGAATGAATGACCCTTGCTCCAGCCTGGGCCAATTCCCTGGAACTTTCCTTCTTCAAAAATTTGCACTCATTTTAGTCTCTTCTTCCTTGAACAGCCTCTGCTTCCTCTCCGAAGCCCATTTCTCTTCTATGCTGAAGGGAGGAAGGAGCTACAAAAGAAGCTCTGCCGTGTGTTTCCTTTCATAGAAAAGTTTAGAGAATGCAAACTAATCTATGGGGACAGAAGCAGATCAGTGGTTGCTCAGGGGTGGGGGCAGGGAGGAGGGGATCACGAGGGGTGGAGGGTGACTGTGAGTGAGGGGCGCGTTCCTGCCCTGACCGTGCTGGTGACGTCTCGGGATAAACAGAGCAAACCGCACCCTTTAAATACGTGTGCTTTATTATCTCTCCATTGCACCATCATGCAGTTGGACCCGCAAGGCCCTAGTTTCCCATGAAAACCCTGTAGCTCTCCCCCCTCTCCCTGGTGGTCAGCACGCCAGCAATCATTCATGTTGGGCCTCTACCACGCGCCGGGCACTGGGATGGATGCAGATGTGGGAGGGGGAGAGATTCGGTCCAGCTCTCGGTGATCTTGGGGGGCGGGGGGTGAGCGGGGGTGCTGTGAAAGTGTGGGGTTCCCTGGAGGAAAAGGCGACGTGTAGGGAGATGTTGGAAAATCCAGTCGAAGGATTTCAGGAGTGCAGGGGTAGAGGAAGCGGCAGGTAAGGCAAGACAGGGCGCCAGGGGCTCACAAGCAATTCCAGGGCTTGGCTTTAGTCCTGGCAGCAATGGGGGAGACCCCAGAAGGTCGTTAGCATCAGAGAAATCTGGTCAGTTTTGTCCTACAACAAAATCGCTCTGGCTGGGGCACGAAAGACGGGCAGCAAGGGACGGCTGGGAACCGAATGTCCTGGCAGGTGATGGCTTGGCCTCAACTAAACCACGGCTATGCATAAGGGAGAGATGGACTCAGCAGGGTAGGGGATGGATTCTGGAAAAAGAGAGAAAGAGAGAGAGAGAGAGAGAGAGAGAGAGAGAGAGAGAGAAGCCATCAAGGTTTCTGGCCCGGGCGGCTGGGTAAGCTGGGTGGATGGCAGTGCCTGTGGAGGCAGCAGGTGTGGGGAAGGGAGACAGTGATGATTCTAGATTGATGACACAGAGTTAGAGGAGCCTGGGGCCCACTGGGAACCTGTCCAGCGGACATTGGGTGGCCGACATGAAGGAGCCGAGTCTCAATGGTCTCTCAGTAAGCCATGGGATCCTTGAGAACAAAGACTCCCCCCCATCCTCGCTGCGTCCACAGCCAGCTGCCCTAGAGACCTAACATAGATTTTTCTCCTGACAGATGTTTGTCAGTTCACCTGCTGCTGAATTCTCCCTCCAGATTTGCACAGGTAAGTCCAGCTGCAAGGAACATCTGGGTCTCTATCGGTGAGGCTTCTACGTCTCCGTGGCGCAAGCCTCAGGTGAGCACAGGGAGAGCAGACAACTCCCTCCCAACTCCCACCCTGCTCCGCATTCCTGGAGGGAACATCCGGCCTTTGGACAGCTCCTCTTCGTGATCAGTTTGCCCTGGGGAGGAAACAGGTCTCTACTTCTGCCAAGTGCCCATCGCTGTACCTAGGACAGCTCCCCAGGGTGCTCCAGGAAGCCCCGGCCTGGGGCCAGGGGCACACAGCTCACCGCTCAGAGACTGCAGGGTGGAACAGAGGTCTGGTGACTTAGCAGGGGCGTCAGGGGGCCTGAGTGATGGCCCAACGCTGGCTGATCTGCTGGCCTACCCTCTGCAGCGTTTGCCTCTGAGGACACTGAGGGTTTCACGTTAGAAACGCCACGAATGTGTAGAAGAGGAAAGGAACCAGCCCAGAGTCTCACAGCCAGGAAACCAGACTCCCTCCTCTCCCGCAGGTCCCGATGTCTCCAGGGAACATGTACAATCAGCGGTCACTCTACTTATCTTACACGCAGGAGCCACAAACGCCCCCTCCCTTGGGGCATTTTGCATCTCTTCCTGGCTTCCTATTTAATCTTCCTCACTCTCCTGGGGCAAGAACTGGGTCTGATTCATCTTCCCAGTCTCCAGCCCCTTGCAAAGTGCCTGGAGCCTCAAACAGTATCTGCTGATTCATTCTGATCCTCAGAGGAGGTGGAAAAGAGAAATCCTTGAAGGAGGGGAGAGACCAGCCTGGGACTGAATCATGCCCACACGCTGGGCTGCTTCTGGGTGCCTGGGTTCCTGCCCTGCCCCTTCACCACCATGTGGGAAATGACAAGGATGTCTGTAGATGGGAGTAAGGATGGAGGGAAGGGCTTGCAACGTGAGCAATCGGAATCCCCATGGAAGGGACCACGTTCTCACAGAGGACTGAGGGGTTGGCTGATCCACCATGCCCAGAGAACCAGAGGCAATGCTGCATGGAGTGGCAAGGTCTGGCACCTTGAGGCCAATCGAAGGAAACCATTCCTTTCGGGAGAGAGGGTATTACCGTGCTATCCCCAGACACCCCGGGGATGCAATCGTGGTCTGGAAGTTGCTCAACCTCTCTGCAGCTCAGTTTCCCCATCTGTGAAGTGGGTGGAATAATGGCACCTTATGACACCTGTCAAGGGAGCTACACCGTGCCCAATCTCCAGGCAAGCTGCTGCCAGGGCTGACCACTTTCTCAAAGGTGCCTGTCAGGAGGTGCTGATGGTGCCTTGTGCTGAAACAGACTGGGCTGGGACTCCCTTACACCAGAAAGATTTCTGAGGCCACTCCAGCTCCACGGCGTCTGGTCTCCTCTGCTCCCAGGCACCGCAGAGGGACCTGGCTGTGCTGACAGCCGTGTCCTATAGCTGGGTCAGCTTTCTGAGAGAGAGGGGCCCTACAGCACCAATAAACCCAGGAGCAGACTTGTTCTAACAGCTAAGGCACCTGCATCCCACATCAGAATCCCAGCCCCAGCTCCAGCTTCCTGCTCACGCACATCCGGGGAGGCAGCACTGATGGTGCAAGTGGCTGGGTTCCTGCCACTCACGTGGGAGACCCCTACTGAGTCCCGGTTCTCAGCTTAAGCACATCTCTGGCCACCGCAGGCATTTGGAGAGTGAACCAGTGGATAAGATCTCTCTCTCTCTCTCTCTCTCTCTCTCTCTCTCTCTTTGTCCAGTTTCACAAGACCTTCAAAACACCAAAGCAGGAAAGCAGAAGGGCAAAGAGGGCTGGCGCCGCGGCTCACTAGGCTAATCCTCGGCCTTGAGGCACCGGCACACCGGGTTCTAGTCCCGATCGGAGCGCCCCGGTTGCCCCTCTTCCAGGCCAGCTCTCTGCTGTGGCCAGGGAGTGCAGTGGAGGATGGCCCAAGTGCTTGGGCCCTGCACCCCATGGGAGACCAGGATAAGTACCTGGCTCCTGCCATCGGATTGGCGCGGTGCGCCGGCCGCAGTGTGCCGGCCGTGGCGGCCATTGGAGGGTGAACCAACGGCAAAGGAAGACCTTTCTCTCTCTCTCTCTCTCTCTCTCTCTCTCGCTGTCCACTCTGCCTGTCAAGAAGAAGGAGGAGGAGGAGTAAGAGGAGGAGAAGAAGGGCAAAGAGGTTCTGAGAGGTTTCTACAATCAGGGGCAGTGGGCAGGGCCAGGCTCGGGTGACACTGCCCCCTTCCCAGCAAGGGCTTGGCCAGGGGAATGGGGGCTTCCTGCCAGTGGTGGGTTCAAGGCAGGGTTTCTTCACCTGGGTGCTGTTGACCTTCTGAGAGGGATGATGTGGGGGAGAGGGGGTTACTGTCCTGCTCATCGTAGGACGCTTAGCAGCATCTTTGGCCCCCACCCACCAGACTCCCTGCAGCCCCCTCCACCCAGTCATGTCCCCAAAACGTGTCTCCAGACGTGGCCAATGTCCCTGGGGAGACAAAATCCCCACTGATGTAAAGGGAGCTTCCCAGAAGGGAAGGCCCGGGAAGGGGAACAGACTGGCAGGTTCCAGTGCAGGGAGAAGAGGCGGGAGAGAGGGAGGGTGGACGAGCCGCCTTTGGCCTTGGGGGAAGAAATCAGGACCCCAGGGGCCTGGCTCAAGCATCTCCTGTGCTATTCTTCCTGTCTCTGCTAATAGGGCTGTGGTCCCATTCTGTAGATGTTTATTGATTGCCGTCTGTAGACAAAGCACTTTCACACATTCATTCCCAACGGTTCTTCCAGGGAGCTGCAATGTGTCCGTGGTTCCTTAACATGGCATCACTACTAATTCACGACGGTCAACATTTGTCCGGCACTCACCCAGCGCGGAGCCCCGTGCAGGGACGCCACACCAGGTTGTTTCTTTCATCATTGTTTTTGGTTTGAAAAAAAAAAAAAAAAAAAAAAAAAAGAACTCAGAAAGATAAGCAGCTAAGTAAAGGCACCCAGCTTGATACACTCTGGGTGATGAACTGAATGAATGAATGAATGCCCAGCATGCCCCTCTCTGGTATCTGTAGATGCTGTGTGGAAATTCTCACTGATGGGCGGGTCTCCCTGCCTGGCTGTGAGCAGCCCAGGCAGGGACAAGGACACTGCTCATTCTCAATGGCATCTTCAGCCTCTGGTGTACAGTCGGGTCCAACACATGTTTACCAAATGAGCAATTGAAGGACAGTGTTTTTCATAGGCCCAATTTGCCTTTATAAACACCGCAAGCCCTGTCCCATACTAGGGCTCTATGTGCTGTGGTCCAGAGATAATGGGTAGCAGATACAGACTGGAGTCAGGGTTCTATAGAATGCTTCTATTATGTAAAGGAACACTGCAGGGTGACAGGGAGCACGATGGTCCAGATGAGACCCATGGGAAGGAGCTCTGCGTGAGTCCAGGACAGCCCCAGCCCACTGGTAGGCTCTTCGACGATTCCCAGTGCGTAACTCTGTCCGCTACCCCTAGAAAGTGGCCCTCGCCTCCCTTCACTATCTACTCCAGGGACGCCCTCATCTGCACCTGCGCAGATCCAACACTTCTCCTTGTAAAGAGCAAAGAAAGCAGCTCCCCCAAAGGGCCCAGTAACACCAGCTAGTGTGCAAGCTGCTTACCAGTCTCCTGAGCTTCATCTCTGCTCTCAGCATCCCTGGGCAGGCACAGGTACTGCCCCCATTTGGCAGGTCAGGAAAGAGACGTGGGGAGCCCAAGCATCCCCACCTGCCATGACTGAGCTGGTCCACACTGGAGCTCAAACTCAGCTCCTCTAACTTCGCGCCCTCTTCTACCTGGACAGATGGGACAAGAGCTCTTGGAGGAGAAAATGAGATCATAAAAAGTGGCCCACCTCTTCCCCCACCATCGTCTCCCCCCAGCCCTTACCATCCTCTGCTGGTCTTTTCCTCCCCTTTACAGGGCTCTGATGCACAAACAGACCAAAACCAGTCCTGTTGACCGTCTACAAGACTTTTATCCCCGTTCCACAGGTGCAGAAACTGGGGCACAGAGAGGCTAAGGGACCTGCCCTATTTCCCACAGCAGGTGAGTGAGGCAGCCATGTGCTGACCTGGGAGAATCAGGCTCCAGAGCCTGCACTGTTAACACGGTACTGTGTTACCTCCACCGCAAACTGGCTAACTTTTTCCAAAAATTATAATTTACATTTGCTGGCTCCCTGTGTCTGTACTTTTGTGTGTAACCCAGTGAAGTCTTCAGACCCAACAGCAGCAAACAAAAGTCACTCTCCAAGGCCACAGAGCCATTTCTCAACCCCTACTCGATCCTGGATCCAGACAGCAGAATCTACCCACCCCACCATTGCACCTCTTGGTGCCTCAGGCAAGCTTTTTTCTTGCTTTTCCCAAACTAGGAGCTCACCCAGCCATCTGCTCCACATGCAGACCTCAGAAAGGCGAACGCAGCTCAGTCCCTTCTCAGCTCTGCTCACCCAGCTCCTCTCACTTTTGCAGCTCCGGCATCATCTACGTATGCATTCATTATTCATCCCAGCAACAGCCATGTATTGAACAACTATGTTCCAGGTTCTGGGCCAGGCACTGGGGATTCAACAGTGAATGAGACAAACACAGTCCATCCGCCCTTGTGTAACAGATATTTTATTAAGGAAGACAGACAATGGGTACCTAGACATACAAATAGGATAATACTAGATATTGATAAGGGCTTTAAAATATACATAGAGAGTGACTAGGGTGAAGTGTTTTAGATAAGGTGGACAGGAAAGACTTCTTTGAGGAGTTGATATTTGAGCTGAATGACAAAAGGGAGCCAAACTTGGTGAGGCTCTGAGAGCCGAGGGGCAAACCACAAGCCCACCGCAAAGGTGTTGAGAGTGAGAGGATCTAGATCTGCCTGAGGCACAGCAGGGTGCAGAGACAGACAGGAGGGGCAGGCAGGAGCCATCCTCAGAGGGCCCTGCCTACCAGGATGAGGAGTCTGGCTGTGATTCTAAGTGCAATGAGAAGTTGTTGGAGGGTTGGAGGCAGAATGACAAGATCTGATTTATGATTCTCAAATATAACTTTTAGTTACAGTGTGGAGAAGAGATTGCAGACAAGGGCAAGATAGAAGAAGCAGGGAGTCTGGTCAGGAGACCACTGCAATAAAACAGATGAGATGGTGGTGGCTTGGACCAGGGCGATAATGGAGAAGAAGATGAGAGGCAGATGGGCTGGAATATATTTTGGAAGCAGAGCTACCTGGGATTGCTGTTGGATTTGGACGCAAGGCAGGAGGAAGGGGGATCAATGATGACTCCTTGGTGTGGGCCTAAGAGATTGTTCACACAAACTTACTCCATTCTGTAAAACGCCCACCCAACCCATGAAGGAAGAGCCCTCTGTTCTTGGCATTCATCATTCTTTCTTTCACAGTGATGACTTAAAAGCAACTTCCAAGTCCAGGCCACAGGTCTTGGTGGCTTGGGAATCCAAAGGGACTAAAGAAACAGCTTTGTAACCCTCATGTGCCTCGTGTGAACGCCAATGAGGCCTGGTTCAGAATCACAGGCCTTCACTGTGTCACCGCCAGCCACACCCTGAGTGTCTCTGAGTCTCTGCTCCCTTTCTGTAAAATGGTAAAATGGGCATCACAAATACTTACTACTTCTCAGAGCTGTGGTGAAGATAAGGGATCCAAGGCACCTCCTGGTCACCATTCAGTAAACAACGTTCTTCTCCAATTCTCTTTCACTCACCCAAGGTCAAAGCTTCTCTTCTCTCCTGGCACCATGAGCGTTTACATCCTGAGAAGGTGAAAGGTGCAGGGTCCAGGCACAAGCACTTTGGCTGCAATTAAAAATCTGGGGGTGTTTGAATGAAGGAGTAACACTCAGGGTCTGGAAGAACCAAAGGGTCACAGTCAGAAGCCCCTCATTGTTACAAATCCTTCTGGCTCGAGAATAATCCTGGTTATTCCTGCCTCATGGGCAAAGGAGCTCGCCCCAGCAGGGGAGCCAGAGAGACTGCACAACTCTTAATTCACAAGACCTCCTGCAACACTGAAGACTGGACTTAGCTGATACCCCTGCCCTGGGGAAGACTTGCAGGGTGCCGAGAAGACCACAGGAAGCAGTGGCCCCAGAGCATCCAGGCTGTGAAGGAGGCAGTGGCTCTGAGATGCCAGAGGGAATGTGCTCAGACCTGAATCGATGGAACGGGAGGCCCCCGCCTCTGGGGAGGGAGTACGTGGTGCTGCTTCCTTCCCCCCCTGCACAAACTTACATAGTCAAGCGACCCAGAAAAATCGGGTCACAGGAATGAAGGCTGTGACATCAGACATCCGAGGACACCATGGACATGCAGAAAATGAAGTACCAGATTCAAGTTTTGGACCCAAACTTTCAAAAGAAATCACTTTCCTCTTAACCTGGAAGACTGCTTTCCTTGTAGGCCTCTTCTCTGCCTCAAAGGGTTAAGTTCGCTTAATGTCCCTCACTTTGAACCTCACAAGTCACCTTTCTTCACTTCTGTTCACCCTCATGTTAGACAACAGATCCTCCCCACATCTTATTACTTTTCTACCCAAGAAGTCAAGATGCCAGGGACATGAAGTTCCCCAAACTAAAATTTCCAATCCCCTTGCCCTGTCTTACAGGGAAAAAAAATTAAAAATTCAAGTGCATGGCATTCGTTACCACTTAGTTCTGTTTTAAACACGAATTTCCACTTCTTTAGGCATGAAAATTGGAATCTGTTTTTGAGGACAGTTAAGAGAAACCTTTCATACAGCGTTTATTTGAGAAGAAAGAAGACACTGTGTTGATGGCTCGTTTTGTTCTCTGAGATTTAAGTATACCTGTGTACCGGAGGCAGGTGCCAAGGAGGGAGCAAACGGGTGGAATAAGCACTTGGGGAAGGCGAGAGGCAGAGAACGAAGCAGCGAAGGAAGCAGTAGACGAGGAAAGCGCTGGTAACCCAGGCATTTTGCCTCCACCGCGGAACAGCAGGTTCAGCACCGCGGACAGCTCCCGCCTTTGTCTGGGTCCCGGCTCCGGCTCGCGGTGCGCTGCCAAGCGGCGCCAGCCGACGTGCCCCGGCCTCCTGCGACAAACCTGCTTGGGGAGAGAGAAAGAGCAGGGCCAGCACTCAAGGTGTTTCCCTCTTCTCCCCGCATCCTCCGAACTCAGCCTGGTCCCTTCCCACCGCATCTCGGCGGCCGTTTTTAACTGGTTTCCCGCGTGATCTCGCTGCTGTCTACACAGTATCAGGACAGGTACTGGGGGCCGCTGGGTCGCCCTGGCGAATTCAGGTTCGGTTCGAAATTCGTTTCACTGTCACTGCCCGAGGCTCCAGCCGCACACGATTTGTCCCAGACAACACCCCTCCTTCGACCCCCAAAAAAGAGATACGAGAAAGCCCGCGACGTGGAAAGCTCTCCGGGTGCTTGTGTCCGGGGCTGTGTACACGCAAGGGTCTCCCGGCCAATCGAGCTTAGTCAACTGAGTCCCGCAAGCTCAAATCCAGGGGTGCGAACCCCTAAGAGCTAGGAAGAAGAGATAGCCTCTCGGACCAACGTTCTCTCCGCCGAAGAGTAATGAATTTCGTTCCCTTCGGAGCCGGCACCACCACCACCACCCCACCACCACCCTCCCCGGCCTCCCCGCAAGAACTCGGTAGCGTTTTCTTCCGCCTTTCCCGGCAAAGGCGTGTGGCTCGAGTTCAGCGAGCTTACAGGCTGCGCACGACATTTCCTTCCTGGGTCCTTTTGTAGGATGCAGGCCACAGGGACTTCTTCTCCGGTTCATCTTCACCCAAAATCTTGCTTCCCCCACGGATGGCCGGGCCGCCCGCAGAAGCTTGCTCGAGATCCCGCACCCACGTCCACAGACACGCACGCCTACGCTCTGCCCCGGGCCAAGAAAGTTGGGCGCTTCCTCCAAGCTTGCGAGAGTGGAGCCGCCACGCCGCCAATTTGTTCGCGCAGGGGCGCCCCAGGGCGACGTTAGCCGCGAAAATAAGTCAAAGAAAGGCCTCGGTGCAGGGGCCTGTGTGTGCTGGGAGCGAAGCAAGAGCTTTCTTCGTAGGCCCCCTACAGCTCGGCCCCCCCCCCCACCTGGGCACCGGGGAAGCACGAGACCGCCAACAACCGAGGCGCCCCAGACCTGCGCCGCAGAGAGTAGATACATATTCGCCTCCCAAATCAGACATTTCGCCCCCTCCCCACCCAAAAATGAAAACCTCCAGAATGTTTCGTTTTCCCGACACAGCACTCTGCCGTCCCCGCCCCCTCCCCTGGCAAGCAGGAGGAGAAAGGGCGCCGCGCGAGCGCGAACCGCTCCGAGGACTTTTAGAGAACGCGGGGTCCCCGCGGCGGTGCCCGCGGAGCAGAAGCGCGCGCGGCGGGGTAAACATACTCGCCTTGGGAGGAAGGAGCTGGGGTCGCCTTCCCTGGTCCCCGCCCCCCTCCCGGGGTCCGCGGCGGAGGGCGCCCGGGAGAGGCGGGGGCTGGGCCGCGCCCCCCTCCCCAAGCCCGCTCCGGCGCGCGGAGTTCAGAGCCGCTGCTGTGTAAACCGTTGCTTTCCGATGCAGATTTCCCTTTAACACCTTCTAAACAAAGGCTAATGAGGCCACTGCATTACTCTATCAACACACAATCATTAGCAACCGAGAAATACACACACTCGAACACTGCGCGGGGGGTGGGGGGCACACACACACGCGCGCACACACACACACTCAGCACCCGCGGGCTGCCAAAGTGGGGTGAATTCTAAAGGAGCCCGCATTAGGCTAACAAAAAGGAGGTGGGATGTGGAGGGGCGGGGAGAGGGAGAGAGAATGGGAGGAGGAGGGGGAGAGAGAGAGCAAGAGAAAAGAAAGAGAAGCAGGGTGCGGACTGAAACACACAGGGGCTGGCTTAAAGGATGATTAGAAAGTGCGGGATCCGTATTTAGGAGGTTAGGGAGCTCTGGAAGATTCTTCTCTTTGGGCTCTGGGGAGGAGTGGGGCTGTAAGCTCTCCACAACCTCTTCCAGGCCCCCTGGCTAGCCTCCATGGTCAGATAGGCCCTGGTGGAGCCAGAGCATCTGGCCACAGCCTAGCAGAACCCAGCAGGTCGCCAAAGGACTGGGGCCACCTGGGATTCGGACCACAGGGAAAGGAGGACGAGAATCCCAGCCATTCTCAGCCAGGATCTAGGGCACGGGCAGGGCAGCGGCCACTTGGAATCCACACTCCGCCGGCACTTGGCAGGGTAGCTGCACTGCCCTGCACCAAGCCCCTGGCTTTCCCCTCTCAGAACAAAACACCTGCGTTTTGCTCCCAGACTGGGGACTGGCGAGCACCTCTCCTTCCGCCTCTCTCCGGCCCCCTTCTGGCCCCAGGGATCAATCTCAGACTGCAGCCTCGCAATGCCCGGAGCCTGAGCTCTGCGCTGGGAACCAGCACTCTCTGGGGGTGCATCCCAGTGGGAGGGGATGCTTTCAGGAAGGAAAGAGGGGACCTGGGCCTGGCCCTGCTGTTCTCCCCGCCTGCTCTAACCTGGAGATGCAGCCTCCCGACTTTGTCCTTTAGCGGGACTGAAGATCTGACCCCAGAAAGCTGAGTCAGGTGGCGATGCGTGATCCCTGCCTGCTCTGACCCCTTAAAGCCCAGGGCCAGGTGTTAGAGGGGGCTTGGACATCAGGTGGGAGCCCCTCTTCCTGGCGTTGGGACAAGGAAGCTTGGGCAGGAATAAACTTGGGCAAAGGAAGAAGAAAGGAGAGGGGGAGGGAGGAAAGAAGGAGGAATGGAGGGAGAAGGGGGAGGGGAGGGAGAGGAGGGATTCCCTGCCTTTTTGATTAAACGTCCCGGGTCGGGCCTGCCCAGTTAACGAGACCGTTAATTAAGCCGCGCACGATTCCACTGACAGGCAGGCAGGCCCTGCGCCCCGCAGAGATGTTCCAGAAACCAAGCCGTCCACGGCCGGCCGAGCGCGAGTGGGGCACACCAGCAGCATCGACTCCGACTCTGGAGGGGTCCACGCGCCTGGGCCGGGGTTGCGCCCAGCCGGCTGCCCCCGCGAGGACCCGGGACCGCTCCCGCACCTCACCCCCGCCACCCCTCGCGCATCCCTGGACTGCCGCGTCGGCCTGAGCCCACGCCGCGACCCATCCGTTACAGCCCGCCGTCGTCGGCCCCGGCCCGCTTGGATGCGCACAGTCCTGGGCTTGTCCGTCGGGCGAACCCGAAGTCTAGAGGGCAGAGGCTGAGTCTCGTCGGAGAGCCAAAGCCGCCGCTGTCCTCCGGCCTCCGGGTGGCGGGTCCAATCTGCGCGCCCGCTCCGACTCCGGGCCGTGCGCGGCGGCGCGGCGGGGCGCTGAGAGTGTGTGCGCGGCGCGGCCTATATTTACACCCCAAACAAAATAATTACACTTTTGTCGGAGAGAGAAAGCCAGTGATTAGGCGCGGGCTCTTTGCGGCAAAACAGTTTCTCAGTGGTACACCAGTATAATTTTTCACGGCTGGCTGAAATCAAAGAGGGGAGGTAATGAATACGGCGAGCAATTTAAATTTACAATTTGTAACGCCGCCGCCGCCGCCGCCGCACAGACCCGGCCGAGAGCGCAGCTCCGAGGCGCTCGCTGCGTTTGTTTAATGTTAAAAGCGCGCCGGCTCTTGGGGGGTGGGGCGGAGCGTGTGTGTTGGGGGGGGGGGGCAAGGATCGAGGTCGAGAGAGGACGGGCTGCATCGCCCAAGATACCGCCCGGAGAGAGGGCGAGGGGCGCGCTTCCCCGGGGGGCCCCCAGCCAGCGCGCCCCCAGCGCGCGCGCTCCCCCGAGAAGACAGGCCCCCGCGGCCATTCTCAGGGAGCGAGTTCCTCCACGGGAACGAGGGGAGAGGCTCTGGCCGCCGGAGAAGCGCCCTCCCCGCCCCACTCCTGCACAATCTCCCCGGGCGAGGAGCGACTGAAATGTCCTCTTCGACCGACCGGCGGAAAAGTCAGCTCCAAACGTCCGGAAGCTCACGACGCCACTGCCGGGTGTGCGGTGTCCGGAGCCGCGGGGCGGAGAAGGGCACCCCCGCGGCCCGGCTCAGCACGCCCCCAAACGCCCCGGCTCCGGGCGGGTGTGCGCCTCCTCCCCGGTAATTAATTACGGAACTCAAGGGGGAATATGCAAACCGCACACTACTAACTCTACAGGGCTTAAGTGATTGGAAACAGATTATTATCTTGTTTGTCTTTTGTCTGTTTTACTTATCCCGCGCCGTCTGTCGAGTTGTAATGTTGATACTCTTTACTCTAGGAGGAAGATTTTTATATAGTAAATTCCATCAACATCTTGTCTAAGTGACATTGCGCCTGAATGCATTACCCTGTTAAGACATAAGCGGTTTATTAGTTACATATAGGGGCATCGCGCTGCCTGGTCGCCATCTGCCAGTTCTGCCAGGGCGGGCTGCGGCGCCTAATAGTTGCTCTGCTGGTGTGCACAGGGTGGTGGTGGGCTGGGGAGGACCACACAGGCTTCAAGAGCAGCCCGGCTGGGCCAACCCACTCGGGCCTGGAATGGGAGTGAGGCGCCCAGGGCCACTCAGGGGGCCGAGGGGCGGGTAGGATTGGTAAATTTCCACCCCGGAGGTGGAGGGTCAGAGCTCTCATCTCCTGTAGCTAGGGTTTCATCCCGATGGGGAGGGGATGGGGACACCCAGAGCAGCTCCCCGATGCCCCTCCCCGCTCCTGAGACCTCCTGGGCTGCCATGGGGGCGCTGGGACCTGGCTGTGCAGGGGCATTTAAGCAAATCCACGAGACGAGAACGAAGGTCATATGGAGCCAGGTACACAGGCCTCCAGCAGCCCGGGGGCTGGACAGACACAGCGGGCCTGGCTCTGTGAGCGTCCTGGGAAGTTGGGGAGAGGGGGTTCGGCGCAGCAGAAGGCCATCCGACGGGGAGTTCGTGGGTGAGGATTGTGTAATCGGGATGTGCAGGTCTCCGCTCACACCCCGGAATCTGTCTGGTGCACAATGAGAAACATGAACCGCAGTGTGGAGCCGGATGCTGGATCTGAAAGCCCCAGCAGAGAGGCCGGAGAAGAAAAACAAAAGGAGAGAGTGTAACAGGGAAAGAAAGGGCAGGGGAGACCCAGGGACAGACGGGAAAACAGAGGCGTGGAGAGAACTGGAGGAGACCAAACCCCCCAGGAGACAAAGGCGACGGGAAAGCAGCACCAGGAGCCTGGGCGCCTCTCTCCTCTCTGGCTTCTTTCATCTCTGCCCTGCCAGAGCTCAAGGACCGTTCCTGCCCCAGGCGGGCAGGGCCAGGTGCGGCCAGAAACTGCAATTTCACTCAAGGCTCCGGGAGACACCTCCGCCGGGCCTTGGGAGGCCAAACAAGGGCCATCCTGTGTAGACACCTGTCCGGCACCAAGTCGGAGGACCAGGTAACCGGGTACCAACCACAGAAGCTGCTTGGGCTGGGGACTCCTTTCTGGAGGCCCAGCTGGTGAACCTATGTCCCACCCGAATACCAGCACCCATCCATCCTCTCTCCCCAGTGAGACCACCCGGGAACAGCATTCAGCATGAAGAGGAACAGAGGGACGACTGTCCTGACGGGAGACAGACATCCACTCCCACCCAGGAAGGGAAGGACACCACCACCACCACCACCCACCTCTGGGAAAAAAAAAAAAAAAAAGCCCTACAGGAGTCACATAAACAAGCATGCTACACAAGCGTACACATATCACAACTGGCAGGACCCCTCTGCACTCGCAAACACGCCCAGCACAGCCCTGCCACACAAAGGGATTCGCGCACACACACACTCGCAGGTAAGACTTCAGCTTTCTGGCGAATGTGTTATAAAAGAGGTTGAGCCCAAAACATCCGGGACACTGGAGGAATTTGTGTCACCCTTGCACGGGCCTTGGTTCCTATTTTAGTGCGTTGCTGCCAGAGCAAGCCCCACTCGGGATTGTTTAAATTCGCCTTCACCTCGACATCACTTGAGAACACACAAATGCACCCTCTCACACACGCAGATACCGACACGAACCGGCAACAGCTGAAGTTAGAACAGACACCATCACACACACACACAAATTCTCACATTAGAAAGTACACCTACTGACTGCAACATGCTCACTCCACGGCCCACTGCCGCTCCGGGAGCAGACACACACAAATTAATTCTCCAGCAGCAAATATGCACAAACAAACTCAGCAAATGCACCCAAACAGAAGGTCCCAGCCAAACACTCCTGGCACCAGTCCTGGGGACACAGGCCCCTACCTCCTCAACCCTGTCTCCCGCAACACAAGGACTACCCGGGCCTGCATTACCAGCCTCCCGAACCTGGAGTGCGCTTGGCTAGGATGGTCCCTTCCCCTCCCCCTCAAGCCCACACACTCCTCCCCCCCCACTTCCCCCCCATACACCTGCACCCACCCTCCACACTCCCCCCCACCACGGCCTCTGTGCCCTGTGGAGCCCAGAACTCCCAGCACTGCACCTCCTGTACTCATGGGGGGCCACCCTTGCACATACAGACCGCACCCTGTGTGCGTGCAAACAGCGCCCACGGAGTCGCCAGCCTCCCCCACCCTGCGGGGCCAACGCCCCCCTGCACCTCCCCCTCCCGGTGCTCTGATTGTCTGACCCGGGACCTGGAAGACGTGGTAAGTAAAGGAAACACTAGGTGAGCGCCACTCTCGAGCTCTCTGCCCGAAGACGTTGCCACCCTGCCACCCTGCCATCCTGCCCTGTCCCCTCCACCTCCCGCCCCGCCCCGCATCTCCCCCAGGGCCGGGGCGCGGCGAACTCAGGCCTGAAATTCCAAAGTCCGAGACGTGGCTAAGCGACATCCCTGCCCTAACCAGGGCCTGTGCCGGGGCCCTGAGTCCAGGCCGGGAAAGCTACGCGCAAGCCGCTCGGCTCCAATGCACTTTCTCCATGAGAAAGGCGCGGCTGGACTCCAGACCCGTGTATGACAAAAGAAGCCCGGGCGGGCTCTCCGAGCCTGGGGAAGAATCACTCTGTCGCAACTCCCAGGCGCAGACCCCAGGGGCAGGGGCAGGGGGGTGGGGAGAGTCCAATCTGGGCGGGCCCGGCAGGGGAGGGGGAGATGGGCGCGGGGCGCTCTCGGGGCCTCGGGCAACTTTTGCAAGTTCCGGGGACAGCGAAGGGGGAGGGGGTTCCTCCTCGACCAGGCCTTGGAACCCTGGCCCCCAAATATTTGTTAGGAAAGAGAGAGGGAGAGAGAGAGGAGAGAAGGAGAGACGCCGTTTTCGGATCGCGCGGCCCCCGCCCCCAGCCCCAAACTGCAAGATAAATACTTACTTAGTCTGGGAACCAGGTACAGGCTAATACTCAACAATACTGATGCCTTGTTTTTTTTGCTCTGTCCGGACCGCAACGCTGTAGCCAATTTAGATATGCTATAAATTTAAGAGGTTGCCATGGCCACGGCGCGCCCATTGGCCGCCAGGCCCCCTACGTGCCGCGCCACGTCACCAAATCTGAATAAGGATGCGCGAATTAGGCGGCGGCCAGACAAAGATGAGGATCCGGACCGCTTGAAAGTGGGGGAAAGTGCCGGCGCCTCCGCCACCGGGGAAAGCCGCTTGGCAGCGCCGAGGCCCGCAGCCACCCGAGACACCTGCGGGAGCCCGGAGCCAACGCCGGGGCGCGCGGCCCGTGGAATGAGGTTGTGAACGCCGCCGCCCCGCAGCTCCGGCCAGCCCCGCGCCAGGCCGGCGATCGCCCCAGGACTTGACCGGCTGAGTCTAGGTGCGGACCGGACTCGCCCGGCGGCGACCGACACAAGAGGCGGGGAGCGCGTCGGCGGCGGGGCCGGGAGGCCCGAGGGCCGGGGGCCCACAGGGAGGGCAGGGCGGCCGGAGCCGCCGGGGCGGGGGCCATGATGGTGCACTGTGCCGGGTGCGAGCGGCCCATCCTCGACCGCTTCCTGCTGAACGTGCTGGACCGCGCGTGGCACATCAAATGTGTTCAGTGCTGCGAGTGCAAAACCAACCTGTCGGAGAAGTGCTTCTCGCGAGAGGGCAAGCTTTACTGCAAAAATGACTTTTTCAGGTAAGAGGCCGCGCCACCCTGCCGCCTGTGCGCGCGCTCCGCCGGGCTCCGGGGAAGGGGACACGGCGGAGCCCGCCACGGCCTCCCGGGCTCGCAAGCCTAGGTGGGGAGCGGGGCCGCACGCTGCTGTCCTCCCGCGCTCGGTCCGGGGGGAGGAAAGGGCCCCAGCCTAGGCGCGGAAGGTCGCTGTTTCGCTGCCTCGCGCTGGTGCCTCCCAGCCGGCCCAGGGCCGAGCTGGGGCCGGGAGAGGAAGCCTTGACAAACTTCCTCGCCCGCTCCCTGTCCCTTCCCAGAGGCTGAAGCTCCTGCCGCCGCGTTCTGAGCCAGGAAGGATTTTTTTTTTTTTTCTGGAGTTCGCGGGCGCTTGGGAGGCTTCTCCCTCCACGCACAACGCCTGAGCCCAGATACCGCTTCTGGGGACAAACAGAAACTTCCCAGCTCCAGAGGGGCCCAGCCAGGCAGGACTCCCCTGGTGACCGCGGAGGGTACCTTCCCCTCCCCCCAAACACGTTCTCCCGTGTTGAAAAGCACAAATGAAATCAGGGCCGGGAATCAGGAACCCCCGGGCCTGGGCTGTGTTGCCTCTCCCGGCCCTAGCCCCTGCAGTTCGCCTTCCTGGGCCTCAGTTTCCCTGGCTGGGAGATGCTGAGAGCCGGCCTGCAGGCCCAGGAGGTGTGTGGCAGACTCGCCTGGCCTGTTTCCGTCCGGCTCCCAGCGGCGGCTTTGTGAGTGCTACTTCCAGGTCCCCAGGGGCTCCAGTGTCTGGGCACCGGGGAATTTGAACACGGGAACACGTCAGCATCACCTTCCCATGTGTGAACTCCTTGGCCCCGGAGGCCTGACGCCCCTAATGTGGCCGTGCTTGCAAAGAGCCTAATGATTTTTGATAAGGTGCATATGGCCAATTACGCTGCCGGATAAGGCCAAAAGTGACTTATGGCTTCTAATGCACTCACTGCATCAATGTCACCCAAATTCACCCTGGTTAGAGACGCGGGTGTGAGTCCAGGTGGGGTCCCCAGAGTCCTGGGCCCTCTTCGCCCCCCTCCCCGGCCATCTCACCCCTCCCTTTAGGGTCTGCATCACCCACTCTGGAGGAGGCCAGCTTTCTCTCTGGGCTCAAGGGAAAAAAAAAGAAAAGGAATTAGCTGGGGGATAAGGGAGAGGGGGATCTGAGACATTCCACGTCCCGGTCTTGCAGGGTTTAGGAGTGGCTCTGTTCCTTCTACCGTTGCCTGCCAAGGCCAGAAATGGGGAGGGGAGAGCTGAAACTCAGTCCCTGCTTCCCAGTGTGTGCCCACCGGAGACCCTGTTCAGCAGCTCCCAGTGTGAGGACTGACAAAGCTCCCAGCTGGCACAAGGACTCTGTGCAAGGTTCCCCTCTTGCTTAGGTCTCTCCTGGAGAGAGGCTCCCCAGCCCATGGCTAAGGCCAGCTGGCCAGGCAGATGGGTGCTACCTGGGCCCCAGCAGACTTGAGGGCATCCAGGAAGCAAAGCTAAGAAGTAGTCTACACCGGCCTGCCTGGCTTTGAATCCTTCGCGGACTCCAGAGCCCAGTTTGCCTGGAGCAGCCCCAGCAGGCGTCTGGGGACACTCTGGGCCTTCTGCTGGGCGGGAGGCTGCGCCCACCATGGCTCAACCCTTTGCAGCCCAGCAGATGGTGAATCAAACCCAATCGACCTGGCAGTGCCAGCCCCAGGAATATTCCAGGACGTGTGTCCCACTTCCGCTCTGGCCAAGCAGGCAGGATCAGGGCTCCCTTTGACAGTTGTGGAAGCCAGGATGGGTGGGAAGAAGAGAGGGGCTGGAGAGGCTTGGACAGCAGCCCACCGCTGAGTGACGGGCGCCCTGTGTCCCCAGGCGCTTCGGCACCAAGTGTGCAGGCTGCGCGCAAGGCATCTCGCCCAGCGACCTGGTGCGCAAGGCCCGCGGCAAAGTCTTCCATCTCAACTGCTTCACCTGCATGGTGTGCAACAAGCAGCTGTCCACGGGCGAGGAGCTGTACGTCATCGACGAGAACAAGTTTGTGTGCAAGGACGACTATCTGAGCTCCTCCAGCCTCAAGGAGGGCAGCCTCAACTCAGGTATGGAGGCCGCCCAGCCCGGAGCTCCGAGCTGGCCTCCCCTCGCCCCGGGGTCTGTGCCTGGCTCCCGCGCCAGGCTGCTTTAGGGCAGGGCGAGGGCACGAAGCTGGAGCGGAGGTGGGTGCGGGGAGCGGAGCTGGTCCTGCAGGGGCGCTGGGAGCCGCCAGCTCCTCTCTGTGCACTCACCCTTCCGTGGCACTAGGCGTCCTGTACTTGAGCATTGGCACAGATTTGGGACCGCAGGGAGGACAGCGGGGTGGGGGAGGAAGAGCCGAGGCCCCATGCTTTCGCACCCTCCTGAGTCCCCTATTCCCAAAGGCTGCGTTCTCCAGAGGGCGTGCCCACCCCTACCCCAGCCGGGGCCGAGACGGGCTCCGAGGGCTCGGGAGGGGCCGTCCCAAAGGCCCAGCCCCGCCTGGGGACGGTGGGCGGGCGCCGGGCCCCGGGGGGAGGGGCCGCCGCAGGTTTGGGAGGGAACCGAGCGCGGCCGGCGGTCGCCTGGGCCGGCTGGAACCAGCCGCCGCTGACGCCTCCGTTCCCTTCCCGATCCGCCCGCCCGCAGTGTCATCCTGTACGGACCGCAGTTTGTCCCCGGACCTCCAGGACCCCCTGCAGGACGACCCCAAGGAGACGGACAACTCGACCTCGTCCGACAAGGAGGCCGCCAACAACGAGAACGAGGAGCAGAACTCGGGGACCAAGCGGCGAGGCCCGCGCACCACCATCAAGGCCAAGCAGCTGGAGACGCTCAAGGCCGCCTTCGCCGCCACGCCCAAGCCCACGCGCCACATCCGCGAGCAGCTGGCGCAGGAGACCGGCCTCAACATGCGCGTTATCCAGGTGCGGCCCGGGCCGGGTCATCCTCGCTGTCCCCGCGGCGCGCCGGGCCGAGAGCGCGCGGGGTGCTGGTCTCGGAGCAGACGGCGCGCATCCGAGGTCGGGGACAGCTGGGCGACCGCCCGAGGCCTGGCACCCGCCGCCAGGAACTCAGTCCAGCCCTGCTGTTCTCCTGGCCCTGCGATTGGGGGCGGGTCACCTCGCTCCCCGCCCCGGCGGAGGGAGGCTTTCAGTCTCCCCGCGCTCCGGGACCCCTCCCTTCCCTCCCAGCTTCCGAGCAGACAGAGGGGCCGTGTTCGTCCTCCGCCTGCCCCTCCTTGCGCCGATGCGCGGGGCGTTCGGAAAACGGCCAGGGGTCGGCTCAAGATGGCGAGGGGCCGAGGCGAGAGCTGTGCCGGGCGGGAGGCCTTTATAAAGCCGTCAGACCGCGGGCGAGCCGAGAACCGGGAAGCACAAGTCTTTATGAGTCGCCCCACGGGTCCGCGAAATCCTTCACCCTTGGCTGGTTCGCCCAAGCCCCTCTCCACCCCTCCCCACCTAATCCGGCCCGGCCCCCGCGTCAGGGGTGTCCTGGTGCGGGAGAGGCGCTAGGACCCGGTGGGGGTGGCCCTCACAGGGAGGAGAGGCTGGTGCACTTCGGGCCGCGAGCTCACAGCACCCCCTCTCCCCCACCCGCTCGGTCCCAGGTGTGGTTTCAGAACCGACGGTCCAAAGAGCGCCGGATGAAACAGCTGAGCGCGCTGGGAGCGCGGAGACACGCCTTCTTCCGGAGTCCACGGCGCATGCGTCCGCTGGGTGGCCGCTTGGACGAGTCGGAGGTGCTGGGCTCCACTCCGTACACCTACTACGGAGGTAAGGGGCGCGCCGAGACGCGCCGCCGCACACCTCGGCCTGCGCCGTTCCGCGAGCTGAGCGCGCGGGAGCACCCGGGATTGCCCCTCCTCGCTCGCCTCGCTCCCAGCCACTCAACGCGGGACTTCCACTGTCACCGACACACCTGGTCCTACACACCTTGGTGCGCGCACACTCACCCACAGACATCTCCCGGACACGCAGTCGCACGCACCATCGGACCCCCCCCGAGTGGTGCAGAGGTTAACACGAGAGGCGCACAGCCACGCGGGCCCCCCACAGTCTTTCACTCACGCTCGTGTCCGGAAACACCGGGCTCACGTCCAGCCACGCGCGGGATCCTCCCGAGTCCCCGCCGCCTGCATTCACCGAGAGACACACAAACCCGCAGACACACACGCACTCTGCCCTGCGTCCTGCTGAGGCCCGCACCGGCAAATCCACCCACGCCCGTCCCCGCCGGACACGCGGCCTCGCGCTCCCCTTGCCGGGCGTTTGTGACTTAAACCCGCGCGGCGCCGGGGGAGGGGCCGGGGACTGGATCCGCTCCAGGCTGCCTGCCCGCCGGCTTCTAAGGCGGCGGCTCCCGGCTCGGTGTCTGGGCCGGTGCGCGCAGCGTCTGGTGCTGTTAGCTAAACCGCAGCCCGTTGCATGGGGCTGCGCTGCCCCCCACCCCCGAGCCCCAAGCATGTCGGGTGCGCCTGCCTACCCCCGGGGGGGGTGCTCTGGGCCCTTGGAGTTGTGAGCTTTGGAGTCCAAGTTTGCAAAGGGGGGAATTTCGATGTTGTGTTTCCAGGTTCAGAGCTGGGGTGAGCTCTGGGCTCGGTCACCTCTTCTCTCTGCCTTGGCTTCTTCCTTCTCATTTCCTTGGCGCTGGCTGGGTGCATCCCCACTCCTCCTCCCACTCCCCGGGTCTTTTGGCCCCCTGGCTCCTGCTGGCCGGCACTGTGGCTGTGGCCCACCGCCCTACCCTCCCCAAACTGGGGGGCCCCTGGGCCCTTCTGGGGTTTAGCCTCTGGGTTCTTATCTCTTTTATTATGTTTCTCTGGACAGGCAGAGTGGACAGTGAGAGAGAGAGACAGAGAGAGAAAGGTCTTCCTTTTGCCGTTGGTTCACCCTCCAATGGCCGCCGCTGCAGCCGGCGCACCGCGCTGATCCTGGCAGGGGCCAGGAGCCAGGTGCTTTTCCTGGTCTCCCATGGGGTGCAGGGCCCAAGCACCTGGGCCATCCTCCACTGCACTCCCTGGCCATAGCAGAGAGCTGGCCTGGAAGAGGGGCAACCGGGACAGAATCCGGCGCCCCAACCGGGACTAGAACCCGGTGTGCCGGCGCCGCAAGGTGGAGGATTAGCCTATTGAGCCACGGCGCCGGCTTAGCCTCTGGGTTTTAAAGGGACCCTGAGCGTCTCTGCCGTGCTGGGAGTCGCTGCATCACGAGTCTTTCGTGGTGAACAGTTCAGTTTGGGGAAGAGGTGACCTCTTTTAGAAAAGTGGATTCGGTTGCAAATGGGTGGGGGCAGAAGCCAGGCACCTGGGCAGACACCTACCCCCCATCCCTGCACCGGCAGGGACCTGAGAGGTTACAGTGAGACCGGGCCAGGGCCCCCAGATCTAGTGGCCAAAACGCAAGGCTAAGCCGCTTCTTGGAGGAGAGACCGAGCAGCAGCCGCGCCAGGGCTGAGTCGTCGCAGCCTCCCAGCGCCTGAGAGCCGGGTGGTGGGCGTGTCCTCCGGGGCTCACGGACTCCCGGGGCCTGGCGTTGCTGCCGGGCGCGCAAAACCTGCGCCTGACGCCGGGAGCTGGCGGGGGCGGCAACCGCCCGCTTTTTTTCCCCGCCTGGATAATTAACCCAGGTTTTCCCGAGGACCAACACCCCACCACCACCACCAATCCCGCCGTCGCCTCACCCCGCGCGCCCGCTGGATGCGGTGGGAGGCTGGCCCTTCTTCCCCGGAACAGGAGCGCAGGGTTCCCCAGCCCCCGGCCAGGCGGCCCCGCCTAATCGGCGCTGGGAGATCCCGGCGGTGGCTGCCGGCAGCGGGCGAGAGAGGGGCCGGGCGGCGGGGCCGGCGGCTCCCCGTGGGAGCGCGGACAAAGCCCCAGCTGCGGCTTTTGTGCCCCTTTCAGACCGCGTTTGTTCCAATTACCCCCGGCCCGGCCGCCATATGGGCGGAGGCGGCGCGCACCGCGCCGGGGCCGCGGCCTTCGCAGGTTCGCCCGCTCCTGCGGGCCGCGGCTGTCCCCTGTCCCCGGCCCTTTGGGGCTCCCATTTGGGGGCACCCAGCCTTCTCCTTGACTTTTGGGGAGAAAGGAATTAGTGGTCTGAATAAGTAATCGGCAACGTTTAAGCTGCTGCCTGAATCGTCTCCAAGGCGCACCTCCGGAAATTCGTCCCCAAGCCGATGTGGATCGATTTCTGGGCTTAGGGTGGGAAGTGGGATGAAGGGAGCCCCCCCCCAGCTGCTCGTGACGGCGACCCCAGGACCGAGCCGCGGGGAGTGGCTTTGTACAGAAGCCTGGGCTGGTTTTCCCGCCGTATAAAGCGGGCTACAAGGTGCGCCTGCCCTGGGGTCCCCCCAAACCTTCAGGGTGAGGGAAGCAGCACGGCTTGTGGGGTCTCCCGAGGGCGGTCTACAGGGGAAGCGGCAGCGCAGGCTCAGGACCCGGGGAGCCCGCACCCCCTGAGTTTGTTGGGGGAGGCGCACCTGTGCGTTCTTGGGAGAACACCCCCCATCACCAGTTTCTCAAGAGAACTCAAAGTCCCCAAAGCTTCAGAACCTGGTGCCTTGGCAAACCCACGGAGCGACGGAGCCTCCGCCCCAGGCGCCCGGGGATGCTGGCGTTCCCCTCCCCTGTCCCGAGCCTCCGGAACTGGGTTCTTGGTTCCATGATGTGGGGGAGACCTGACTTTCACCGGACAGATGCGGGTGTGCTTGGCAGGGCAGTGGATGCGCCAGGTCTACGGGACGCGGGGTTGCAGGCAGGGCGCTGAGCCGGCCCGCGAGCTGATTCCGGGTTCCGCGTCCCGGCCCAAGCGGCCGGCCCCTGCGCGCTTCGCCGAGGCCCGGGTCCGGCTGCGTCGCCTCCGGGTCTCGGCCGTTTCGCGCTGTTTCTCCCTTCGTGCAGCTCCCCTGCCGGGGCGGCTAGCCTCCGCGTCTCCGGCGGCCTCCGGATTGCGTCTCGCCGATCCTCCGCGGCACGGGCTCCGGGCGCGTCTCCGCCTCCACCTCCCGGGCGGCTCCCGCCTCCGGGGTTTCGCGCGTGGCTCCCGCCGCGGCCGTCTCCCCCTTTCTCCTCCTCCCCGACTTTAACGCGCCCTCGGTCTCTCGGGTGCCTGCCGCGGACTTGGCGTCTCTGGGTCTCTTTTTCCCACTCTCCGAGGCCGGTGGCCACCGCCACCCGCGTCTCTGCCGGTCTCTCTCGGTCCTGTCTCTCGGACCCTTCGCTGTCTCGGTGCGCGCTGTCTCCATCTCCGAGTGCCTGGATCTCGCTCGGTCGCTGCCCGGGGCCCCCGCCGCCTCCCGTTCCGCCAGCTCCGTGGGTCTGAGTCCTCAGCCGGCCCCGGGTCTCCGCAGGCTTCCGTGGGACTCCCTCCACGGCCCTTGTCGCGCGCGCGCCCGGTGTCCACGGCCCCGATCGGCTCTCACCGCTTGCTGTCTCTTTGCCTTCCCCTCCCGCAGACTACCAAGGCGACTACTATGCGCCCGGGGGCAACTACGACTTCTTCGCGCACGGGCCGCCGTCGCAGGCTCAGTCCCCGGCCGACTCGAGCTTCCTGGCCGCCTCGGGGCCCGGCTCGACGCCGCTGGGCGCGCTGGAGCCGCCGCTCGCCGGCCCGCACGCCGCCGACAACCCCAGGTTCACCGACATGATCTCGCACCCGGACACGCCGAGTCCCGAGCCGGGCCTGCCGGGCGCGCTGCACCCCATGCCGGGCGAGGTGTTCAGCGGCGGGCCCAGCCCACCGTTCTCCATGAGCGGCACCAGCGGCTACAGCGGAGCCCTGTCGCACCCCAACCCCGAGCTCAGCGAGGCCGCCGTGTGGTAAAGGCCACCGGGCCCTGGCGGCGCCGCCCGGACGCGGCCGCGCGAAACCAAAACGCCCGACGTGGACGCGGCGGGAGACGCGGGAGTCTCCGCCAGGGGTTCTCCCTCGGGTCTGCACTCAAAAGGCAGCCGCCCCCGGGCGGGGCGCCGAGGGGAGCCGACCCCCTCCTCACCCCGCGGGCTGCCCGGGGGAGCCCCCAGCCCCTCGGCCGCGCCCTCCCGGCGGCCACGAGCAGTTTCTTGGGACCAAAGCGAATACTGCGGAGTCACGGGAGCTCATGCGTGCGTTGGACTTCCAGGGCCCCAGCCACCGCCGCCTCCTCGGACCCGGCCGGGGCTCGGGGCCAGGGGCTTCGTGGCTGATCACGCCTGTTCCCCGAGGGGCAGTTCCCGCCCTTATTTCTCGCTCTGCCTTCCCTACCCTTAAAAGAGGATGACGAGGAAAAGAGAGATCGAGATGGAGAGAGGGGAGGGGAACAGGGTGTGGGAGAGCGAGACCTAGGGCGAGCGTCCGCCAGAGAGGGGGTGGAGAGCGAGCGAGCGAGTGAGCCAGAGATTTGCGCTTGATGAGCGAGAACCTGGGAGCGAGGCAAATTCACCTGCAGGTTGGCGCCCCCTGGTGGCCAGTCCTGAGGCTCAAGGTCAGCTCTCGTAGGAGGGGGCAGTCAGGACCCCCCAGCCAGCCGCGAGCCAGCTCCGCTCGCCCTCGTCCTCAACGGTGACGTTTGTCTGGGGCCAGAGGGGTCCAGGCCCGATGCGAGCGCCGCCCACCCTGCTGTCCCTCCCTGGGAGAGGCGCCCAGAGGCCGGGCGGGGGGCCTGGGGGCTGGGCCGTCAGGATGTCCAATATTATACTTTTTTGGAAGTCGGACGCTTCTAGTTTCCTTATTTTGTATAAAGAAGAATCAAATAAAGTATGTTTTTGTGTTTACTGTTTATTTATTGTACTCTAGTTATCCGGGTTGAACATTTTTATATTTTTAAGAGGAGGGAGGGCAGAAGGAGGGAGGGGAGGCAGAAAGAGGTTTACCTAAGAAAAATGAAAATACAAAAAAACAACTTTTTTTAAAAAAGAAAGATTAATAAAAAAAAATGTTTTTTCCCTCCGTGCTGCGTGGTTTTCTTTTTTGCTCTGTACTCCGACTGTCACTGGGTGGATGGGGCTCTGAGTCTCTGGACTTGGGGGGGTCCTTTTGGTGGTGACCAGGTGAGGAGGGGGTGTTGGCCAGCTGCTGCGGGCCAGGCGTGCTCTGGGCCCCTGCTTTGTGTCCCGGCCGGCTGGATCCAGCAGTCCCGCTCAGCACCCGGCGAGCCTCCGCAAAGCTTGGCGGATGGATCAATGTGTGGTTCGTTTGTCTTCTCATCAGCAGAATTCCAGCTTCCTTCCCCATTCCAAGGGGGCCGAGAAGCAAGGAGCAGGCTGGCAGCTGGGCCTTCGTCGACAAGCCCCGCCCCTCTGTGCCTCGGTTTCCCCAGCTGCAGGGGGCACTGCCTGCATTCCCTTCCAACCCAGGCACGGGGGATTAGAAAAGCAGACGAAGGAGACCTCGACAGATGGGAAAATGTCCTGCGCTTGGACGCCTTTCATCCCGGCCTCCACTCGGCAGCAGCAGGAAGGGTGGAGGGGCGTGGCTGGGAGCCGTCCTCGCGCGGGCCTCAGGAGGACACAAGGGGGCTCCCACTTTCTGCTCTGTCCTCAGAGCGCATGGGTCTTTACCAGCTGTTTGCCACTTGCTCAGGGTGGAGAAACAAAAGGAAGGGAGTGTCGTGGTCCTGGAGCTCATCTCCAGACTTCCCTGTTCTCTCTCGGAAACCAGCCGTCCTGCTCCGAGCACACGGGGCTCTGGTCCATGCAGCAATGGCTTCCCGGCCTAGAACCTGACCTCCAGAGCCAGAGCTCTGTCTCTCTCCGCGGTCACTGCTCAGAGCTCCCGTAAGTGGGCGAGCCGGACTTTTTGCTTTCTTGGACATTTCGGTTCCTTCCTAACTCTTCACCACTTTGAGCCACACTGGAATCCATGCCCGGGAAACTCCATCTCCGCCCTTGTACCTGTAGCTTCCATCTTTCCCACCAGGATGCTCAGCAGAGGTAAAAGGACTTGTTCAAGGCGACGCGTGGGGGAGAGGCAGGGCTGGGGTCCACGGCTATGGATTCCACGTGCGGTCGGAGGCCCCGGGCTGGGGTGCATCCCAGAGCCCAGGAGGGAGTTTGCACGGGTGCCGTGTCTCTGCGGGGCTCTGCCTTCTGGGCGCCGGTGGGTTTTGCACAGGGGCTCACGTTGAGCTTTCTCAGAGTGAGCCCTGGGACCTGAGCCGGGACTCAGCCCTCACTCTCTCACCAGCAGGCATTGTTCCGGGTGATCCAGGCAGTGGGGGGAGGGGGAGGAGAAGCGGACAAAGGGGAAGCAGGGAGGGGACAGAAGAGGAGACACAGCCACATGCATGTGTCAAGTCACCTACTGCCCAGGCCTCACGGTGCCTGGGGGACCCCGGCCACTCACCCTCCTGAGAGAGCCAGCAGTAGGGCCACCGCCTGAGAGTCCACCACAGACTCCCTCCTCGGCCCTGCCTCCCAGGTGCAGTCACACACACACACACACACACAAGTACACATACCCAGGTGAGCACACGCTTGCACCAAGAGGAGAGAGAGAGAGAGAGAGAGAGAGAGAGAGAGAGAGAGAGAGAACGCGCCTGGCTCAGCCCCAGGACACCCCCACCCACTCCTGTGAGCCCAGTGTAACTTCCCAAGGGCCAAGCAATCTCACTCCCACCCCACCCCACCTCACCTGGCCTGGTGCACCTGCCATGGTGGTGGCCCTGGGTGGCCATTCATTAGAGGGGCTGGGGAGGAGTGGGGGAGCTTGGTCAGCATCTGCCCTGCTCCCTCCAAGCCTGCTTGGAAGAGAGAGCCTCCCAGAAATGCAGGCCCCCTCAGACCCCATCCTAGATGAGTAGAACTCCCCATTCCCTGCCCAGGGGATTCCGATTCCTCCCAGGCTGGCGAGGCCAGGGCCCATCAGGATTCCACCCCCATTAGGCCCCCTCAGCCAGCACCTCCCGCCATCCTCACAACTGCCCTTCAAGATGAGTTGTTGTCCCATTTTGCAGATGGAGAGACCGAGGCCCGAGAGGGGAGGTGAGCTGTTCTGGGGCCACGCAGCCAAGGGGTGGCAGAACCAGGCTTTGAGCTGAAGACTTCTGCTTCTGGAAACCACGCTGGCCCTGGCGCCTGCACAAGCGCTGCAGGTGTCTGGTAATGAATGAATGAATGAATGAGATGCAGCCAGCACACAAAGGGGCCATGTAAGAAGGGGTCTCCTGGCTGCCCGCCCGCACTGGGGGGTTCTGCTGAGAACCCCCTCGCAGGTTTCCGAAGCCAGCCAGAGGCACAAGGTCTGTGACGAAAAGGACCAAGGTCAAAGGGAGAGACTTGAGCTCCTCCGAGCTCCCACGCGCTTCTTCCTGCCCCTCTGCTGCCCTCGCGCCTTCCCTCCGCCATGAATGTATCTCTTCATCTCTTCCTCATCAGTGCCCGTATTTATTATCACTTAAAAATAAAAGATCTCCAAGAGGAAAAAAAACATTCCAAGGGAAAGGAGGCTGGAAGAGGGGCACATGGCCCATCCCCCACGGTGACACCGGCACAGGTAAGCTGGAGCGGCCCCCCACCCCTCCCCATACCTGGTCCCCAGCTCCCCTGACCCCACTCCTCCATCCTGAAAGAAAGACCCCACGGAGCACGAGGGCTGCCCCACTGTGTTTAGGACTAATATTTAAAATGCAGAATGGCTGTGGAGGGCTCCTGCTCCCCAGCCTTGTCGTGCAGTAAAAAGATATAAACAGAATAAATTAGCTCTCCAGCTCGCATGATGAGAATACCCATCTCCTGACCAGAATTTTAAGTCCTGCCTCCCTCGTAGCGCCGCACACGGCTGATTTATGGAAGCCCGAGCACTTCTCTGCATATTTCTGCTGTTCAGCCAAGTGGGCAAGTTTACCCTTCCTATGCCATTAGCGTTATTAACACCTGGGCAACCGATCATTGCAAATGGGCCATTCCTGTGATGAACACGGCCCGCCGCCACTGCTTCTCCAGGGCCGGGCCACCTCTGGCCTCCGATTTGTGAATTTCAGGCCAGGGCTCCGGGCCATCCGCACCTGCCCCTGCCTCCCCACCCCCACCCCAGCACCTGCTGGTGGGCTCCCGGGGCCTCTGGGAAGGAACCTCATAACACTGCAGGTGCCCAGGGACTGATGACGCCGGCCCCAGCTGAGCAGGGAAAGAAACAAAGAGAGAAAGAGAGTGGCCCAAAGTCCCGGGCAGAGGCGGCCGTGAGTTGCCATCGGCGCTCAGAGGGAGACTCGGAGTGTGGCCCGCGGGCCGGCGGTGGCAGCAGCATCGCCTGGAAGTGGATCAGAGAGGCAGCGTTGCAGTGGCCCGCCCAGAACCCCAGGGCCACCACCTACCCGGTCCCCGGGAGCGGCTGAGCAGGTTCAGCGTTGGGAGTGTTGGCCTGGAAAGGACTCCCAGGTCCGCCACGATCCCTTTCCTACTGGGAAAGCTTTGGGGTTTGCATTCTGTCTGCCGAGAGGCAGCCAACCCCAACCCCAACCCTGTGGCCACACTGGAGAAGGGAAGCCCGAGTCCCCGCTGTGCCCGTTCTGCTGCAGGCATCTGGGGAGTGAGCCAGTGCATGGCAGCTCTGTCTGTCTGCCTTGCAAATAAAATAATAATAGGGATCCACCCTGTGGCACAGCGGGTTAAAGCCCAGGCCTGCACTGCCAGCAACCCATATGGGCGCGGGTTCGAGTCCCGGTTGCTCCTCTTCTGATCCAGCTCTCTGCTATGGCCTGGGAAATCAGTAGAAGATGGCCCAAGTCCTTGGGCCCCTGCACCCACGTGAGAGACCTGGAAGAAGCTCCTGGCTCCTGGCTCTGGATCAGCTCAGCTCTGGCTGTTGTGGCCACCTGGGGTGTGAGCCAGTGGATCTCTCTCTGACCTCTCTCTCTCTCTCTCTCTGACTCTACCTGTCTCTGTAACTCTGTCTTTCAAATACAATAAAATAAATATTAAAAAATAAATAAATAAAAATAATAAACATAGTGCCTGGCACTGAGCGGGCTGCTGGGTAAGGAACAGTGAATGATATAATGATTCGGTAGCAAGAACAATGCCATTTAGTGGGTGCTGTGGTCTTTGTCCTCTATTCTGTTTTTCTTAGAGGAGGCACTTACAACATTTTCACAATGAGCTCCACAACCTACACCAAAAAAAAAAAAAAAACAAAAAAAACACCTCAGTTTATTACTTCCTGAACACGCTGCAGGATTCTCCGCATTGCCTAATGGAAGACTATGGATCTGTGGGGCACATCACGCACAGCCCGGCGAGGCCTGGTGGAGGATGATTTGCCAGCCTGGGTACAGAGAAAGGCACCGCGATGGATGACGAGATACGCAGAACGGGATGCGGGCCCTCGATGGAATACAACGCAGCCGCGAAGAGGAAAGTGCTGATTCCGCCGCCGCAGCGCGAATGAACCCCGAGAACTGCCCGCCAGAAGCCAGACCCAAGGAGCCCACATCCTGCGTGGTGCCGTTTATGGGAAATGCCCAGGGCGGGCGGGGCCCTTGAAACAGGGAGAGGACTGGCGGCTGCGGGGGCCGGGAGGAGGGGTTGGGTGCAGGCGTCACTGGGGGGGCGGTGCAAGCGGCTGGGGTTCCTGTGCTGAATACCTTCGAGCTGTTGACTTTTTTTCTTTTTCTTTTTTTCTTTCTTTCTCTTTTTTTTTTTTTTTTTTTTTGACAGGCAGAGTGCACAGTGAGAGAGAGAGAGAGGGACAGAGAGAAAGGTCTTCCTTTTCTGTTGGTTCACCCCCCTATGGCCCCAGCAGCGCGCGGCTGCCAGCGCACAGCACTGATCCGAAGCCAGGAGCCAGGTGCTTCTCCTGGTCTCCCATGCGGGTGTAGGGCCCAAAGACTTGGGCCATCCTCCACTGCACTCCCGGCCCACAGCAGAGAGCTGGCCTGGAAGAGGAGCAACCGGGACAGAATCCGGCGCCCTGACCGGGACTAGAACCCGGGGTGCCGGCGCCACAGGCGGAGGATTAGCCTAGTGAGCCGCGGCACCGGCCGAGCTATTGACTTTTAAATTGCTACGTGCACCTTCTGTTTCACCTCGCTAAGTCCACGAGAAAACGAAAGGCTGTTTTATTATATTCAGGGGCCTAATGAATACCCCAAACCCAGCCACAAGCCTAAGCCCCACACGCGGCGAAGCCTGGCCCCAGCCCCCCTTGCAGAGCGCGCTTTCCCGGATCACTGATGCCCAGGGCAGCGCCCTCATGTGATGCGGCCAGAGGGCGACTTCACCCAGGCAGGGCCTCCTGGGGCGTGCGATGCGGCCCCTGGAGAAACCACGTGCCTCAGAGGTGCCAGATACCAGGGAGGAAATAGCTCTTTTCCATTCTCTTCCAGCCTTCTGATTGCTTTTCTAATAAACTTATCTTTTAGTCCCTTTTCCCCATGAACTTCGAACTTGTTTTCATTTTATTTAAAAGGCAGAGGTCTCCCAATCTGTTGGTTCACTCCCCAAATGTCTGCAACAGCTGTGGCTGAGTCAGGCTGAAGCCAGGAGCTGGGAACCCCAAGCAAGGGGCAGGGACCCAAGGACTCGAGCCATCACCTGCTGCCTCCTAGGATCCGCGTTAGCAGGAAGCTGGAGTCGGAAGCAGAGCCAGCCCTCCACGCCAGGCACTCTGATAAGGTTTACAGCCCCCTGGCACAGCTCCTTAACCACAGCACTAAACACCTGCCCCTCTCCTGTCCTTCTAAGGGCAGTCTCGGGAGTTAGCATGTGGTCAATGCCCCCTAACACTTAGCAAATACTCTGCAGGCTCAGGCTTGCAGACTTGAATTAACAGAAGTTACAATGTAGTGGCACCGCCTCCTGTCTCAGTATGTCTATTTCCACAGGTCCTATCTAGAGATACTGTTTCTCCACTCACAGACCAGTTCATGTTTTCCTCCCAAACAGCACTGATGGCTTCGAGAACAACATGAATGAGGTGGGGGCCCCGGATGCCTGGAACCAGCAACACCTTAGGTGGCCACACAGGTTTGGGGGTGGGAATTTATTCTCGCTGGTCATCCGTTCAGCTCTCCAGCGAGCGTCTGCTGGAGACATAGCAGGCACTGGGCGCTGTGCCAAGCTCCTGGCTGCAGATGTGAGCAGTGCAGGTTTGGTCCAAGCCCTGGAAGAGCTGATGTCCCCTGGGGAGGACAGTTAGGGACCACAGAGAAAAGGAGCAAGGATCGCAAACAGCGGCCGGACGAGCCGGTGAGGAAGGGGAGAGACTCTGAGTGTCAGGGGGTGTTTAGCAGAGACAAACCTGGGTCCAGCAAATGCAAAGACCCCCTGGGCACAAGGTTGAAGGAGGGGGGAGGGCAGGCACCGAACGCTCCGAGATCAAGAAACTGGAGTTGGCCATGGAGCCAGGACTCAAACCCAGGCCCTGTGACAGGGAGGCGTCCCCAGCAGTGTCCTAACTGCTGCGCCAGTGCCTGCCTCTCACTTTCATTCCACGAAAGTGATTTCATCACGATATGATGGGATGACCTTGACTCTGACTCCCACCTTTCGCTCCCAAGGCGAGTGCCTCTCTCCCTCACCCCGGACCCGGTATCAGGGCAGCCTGCAGCCTGGGCGGCCCTTCTGAGCAGGGGACATGACAGCCAAGGCCTGGATGTGAAGTTGCTGGCTCGGCTGAGAGCCGGGGCAATCGTGTGCCAGACAGAAGGAATGGCACAGAAGATGGCCCCGAGGCTGGAGCAAGCTCAGTGTGTTCCAGGAGGACAAAGAGACCAGTGGAGGCCCGCACCGCGGCTCAATAGACTAATCCTCCATCTGCGGCACCGGCACACCGGGTTCTAGTCCTGGTCGGGGCGCCGGATTCTGTCCCGGTTGCCCCTCTTCCAGGCCAGCTCTCTGCTGTGGGCCGGGAGTGCAGTGGAGGATGGCCCAAGTCTTTGGGCCCTACACCCACATGGGAGACCAGGAGAAGCACCTGCTCCTGCCTTCAGATCAGCACGGTGCACCGGCCACAGTGGCCATTGAGGGGCGAACCAATGGAAAAAAGAAGACCTTTCTCTCTGTCTCTCTCTCACTGTCCACTCTGCCTGTCAGAGAGAGAGAGAGAGAGAGAGAGAGACAGACAGACAGACCAATGGAGCTGCTCAGTGGGAAATTGGGGGAAAGAATGAAGAATGGGACCCCAAAGGCCCGCCCTGGAGGCCCAGGTAAGAGGTTGACCCTTTGGCCTAAATGCACCCAGAGGGCATGGGGTGGTTCAAGGCTGAGGAGGGTGACATGTGTGGATCTGCTGTGGGTTTGTCACTGCTCAGATTGCTGGTGACAAACACACCAGCTTGTACCCCACACAGGTCTCTCCCTGGGAGCCTCTGAGTCACCTGGGGCTGGCGCTGCTGCTTGCGATGCTGGCGTCCCATATGGACACGGGTTTGAGTCCCAGCTGCTCTGCTTCCCATCCAGCTCTCTGCTATGGCCTGGGAAAGCAGTAGAAGATGGCCCAAGTGCTCGGGCCCTGCACCCACATGGGAGACCTGGAGGAAGCTCCTGGCTCTTGGCTTCTGCCCAAATGTTGCTACCATTTGGGGAGTAAACAAGCAGATGAAAATATTCATTCTCTCCCCCGCCACTCTGTCTCTCTCTTTCACTTTGTGTAACTGTGACTTTCAAATAAATAAACACATCTTTAAAAAGAAAAGACATTCACCTGCCCACATCCCAACTACCAAGCTGCAGAAGTGGGATTTGAACCCAGTTCTTTAAACAACCATCCAGGCCCAGCGTCTGCCCACCTCACCAACTTGAAAGAACAGGCTACACCATGGGCCTTCAGGCAAGCCTCAGTCTCCCTCAGCCACGGTGTGGGGTGCAGTGTGGATCTAGCCCACCTCTGTGGGCCGAGGGATCGGGGAAAGTCGCCACGCGGGGCGGGACACTCAGCGACTCCGGCCTTAAAAGGAAGCCAAGGGTCCATTCTCCCTGTCTGCTTCCCCTGGAAGGGGAACTTTCGTATCTCTCCTCCAAACATTTATTTTATTCTTTAGGTCTTTTTGCAAGGGGGAAGGATCGGTGAAGGCAATCAGTTTTAGGACTTAGGATAAAAAATCGCAGGAAAGGGTCGACTTGACTCCTTATAATTAATGGGGCGGCTTGTAACAGGATTCTCCCGCCTGTGGTGCTCCCTGGGAACACCTTTTTACATAAGATATTGCCCACGCCGGAGTGGCAGCGCCGTGATTTATGGGGTTCCTTGCTCAGAAAACCTCTCGTGGGGTCGCCCAGCCAGCGGAATTTATCAGGGAGCTTGGAAGCCAAGCCAGGAGCCTGCCTGTGACATTTTTGGTGGCGTTTAAAAAGCACAAACACTGGGGAAGGGAGAGGCCGATGGGACCGGGACGGGGAGGGGGTCCATTATTTGGGTCAACAGAGGCCGGGCTGGAGATTCCTGGCACGGGACTGGCTCCGGGGCGGCTCTCTGTGGGGGGCAGAGAGAGAAGGCGGAAGAGGTGTGACACCAGCCAAGATGCAAATTCCGTGGACTCCGGCCTCTGGAGGGCGACATGGCTGTCCTGCTCCAAGGCACAGGGGTCCACTTTGGGTTTTAAATTTGTTAATTTATTTATAATTTGAAAGGGGGAGCGAGAGAGAGAGAGAGAGAGAGAGAGCGAGCAAGCCATCCACTGGTTCACTTCTCAAATGCCCAGAACAGCTGGGTGGGGCTGGGCCAGGTTGAAGCTGAGGGCCTGGAACTCCATCCAGGTCTCCGACGTGGGTGGCGGGGACCCAAGTACTTGAGCCATCACCTGCTGCCTCCCAGGGTGCGTGTGAGCAGGGAGCTGGAATTGGAGGCAGAGCCGGGGCTCAAACCCACACATTCAGATGAGAGGTGCGAGCTGCTACTTCATTTTTTTCCCCAAGATTTTATTCATTTATTTGAGAGGCAGAGTTACAGACAGAGAGAAGGGGCCAGGCTGTAAGATCTTCCATCTGCTGGTTCACTCCCTAAATGGCCACAACAGCCAGAGCTGGGCTGATCTGAAGCCAGGAGCCAGGAGCTTTCTCGGGGTCTCCCACGTGGGTCTCCCACTTGAGCCATTTTCTACTGCTTTCCCAGGCCATAGCAGGGAGCTGGATCAGAAGGGGAGCAGCGCAGCTGGGATCCGACCGGCACCCATACGGGATGCCAGCACTGCAGGCAGAGGCCCAGCCCACTACCACACAGTGCTGGCCCCTAGGTGTGCGCTTTTAACGGCTAGACCAAATGCCTGTCCAGGGAGGCCCACTTTTCCTATCTGCGCATAGCCAGCCACTGGCTGTGGGCCACCCTCTGGAAGGCAAAGGCCCACCCATCTCCAGACTCGGCAGTGCCTATGGGCAGTTCTCTGGACAGGTGCTGCTAGGGGCTGCTGGCAGGCGACACCCACAACAGGGAGATGGCTGCCCTCCCTGGCTAAAGAGGTATGATTCAGGGTGGGGGACATCCAGAGTGTCCACTCCGGACAGGAGAGGGCGGTCAAGGCCGGGGACAGCAGCAGGCCGGGGGATGCGGGCACATCCGCAACTCTCCCAGGGCGCTCCCTCGCACTGGGAAAAAATAACAGAGACCTGAGCACGGCTTGCAAGCCCAGCCATGACGTGGTGACCCCCTACACCCACACCACACCCACACCTCCTTCCATCCTCCCTCCCCTTCTGTTTTCCCCTGTCCTCCCTGCAGCCACTGGAGCCTCCCCACACAATGCTGCCCCAGGACCTTTGCTCGTCTCGATTCCTCAGCTCTTCCTCCGCAGGTTCCTCATGCGTTTCCTTCAGGCCTCAGCTCAGATTTGACTCGTTCCAAGAGGTTCCCTTGAACCGCCCTCTCTCGGCTGACAGATCCAGAAATTGGTGAGACAGAGCAACCCGAGACGGCGAGAAGACATTGTTCGCATCCTGACTCCCACAAACCCTAACAAGGTATTCTCAAGGCCATCTGGAGAAAATTGAGCGCGGACCGGGTATCAGATAAGAGGAAGGAATTGTTCATCGTGATGTGTGCGATGATGGCACTGTGCTTCTGTTTTGAAAGTGTGATGCCGGAGTGGGCATTTAGCTCAGCAGTTAAGACACCTGCACCCCACATCGGAGTGTCTGGGTCCTATCCTAGCCCTGCCTCCTGAGTCCAGCTCCCTGCTAATGCAGGCCCGGGGAGGCAGCGAGTGATGGCTCGCGTCACTGGGTTCCCGGCTTCCTGCTCTAGTCTGAGCCACAGCCAGCCTTTGCATGCAGCAGGGGAGTGAACCAGCAAAGGAAGGTCTCTCTCTCTCTCTCTCTCTCTCTCTCTCTCTCTCCACCCATGTTACTGTAAATCATGAGTACAATGCATTGTTGAGGATTGATTTCACATACTCCAACACAGCAAAACATCCCCTCCCTTTCCTGGTCATCCACCCCCACTTCTCCCGTCCCACCTTTACTGACAAACTCACAGCACCCAGCATACTCAATGCTTGCTGGGGCTCTGTCACACCTATCACTCTCCATTAGAACATGAGCTCCGTGGAGCCGGCGCTGTGGCATAGCAGGTAAATCCACCACCTGCAGTGCCAGCAGCCCATATGGGCACTGGCCAGGTAGAAGCCAGGAGCTTCTTCCGGGTCTCCCACGTGGGTGCAGGGGCCCAAACACCTGGGCCACCCTCTATTGCTTTCCCAGATACATTAGCAGAGAGCTGGATGGGAAATGGAGCAGCCAGGACTAGAACCAGTGCCCATAGGGGATGCCAGTGCTGCAGGTGGCCATTTTACCCTACGCCACAGAGCTACAGAATTCCATCCCGGTCTCCCACATGGGTATCAGGGACCCAGGTCCTTGCAGAAGCCTCTGCTGCCTGGCCAGGTGCATTAGCAGGGCGTTGGATGGGAAGTGGAGGAGCCAGGACTCTGATACGGGATGCTGGCTTAACTCGCCGCACCAAAATACTTGCCACACATGTTGAAGTCTTAACCTCCGAGTGGGTGCTGTTAGGATGAGGAGGTGGTTGGATCTCGGGGACGGGGCTGTCATCGAGGGCTTAGCACTCCTACAGCAGAGGACCCGAAGAGACCCTTCCACCCCGTGAGGCCTGGGGAGGGGAGGGGACAGCTGCCTGTGAAGGCGTGGTCCTCACCACACCCACGCCGCCTGTACCTTGGTCTCGGGTCTCACAGCCTCTAGACTGTGAGAAAGAAGGGTCTGGTGGTTAGGAGCCCCTGCTGGGTCTGCCATTCTGTTCCCGCAGCCTGCGTGGCCTGAGACACAGCACCCACCGGAGCCGTCGCTCCTGCACCCGAGGGTCAGCCCCTCTGCAGCTGCTGGGGCCCTTGCCCAGGCTGGCGAGCGGGGAGCAGCAAGGGCCCCGGGGCCCCCAGGCCCCTGCCAGGCCCGGCTCTGGTTGAGAGCAGCCTCTTTGCCAGCCAGAGGCCAGATTCCAAGTCTCCCTGTCGCCTGATGGAGGTGAGACACGGAGCGGGGGTGTTAGGGTCAGGTTGGTGAGAAGGCAGAGGGAGCTTCCGCTGCCAGAAGCCACGAGGATCCCAAAGGGCCCGGGAGAGGCACCCGAGCTGGGGTGGGGGCGGGGCACACCTGGGGCAGGTGCACACACCTGGCAGCCCCGCCTGCAGTGTTCTCCGTGCAGCTCTGGACAAACAGAGGGGCCCCTGCTGCCAGCACCTGCTGGGATGTCCCCGTCTCACCAGCCGAGAGGCCCAGGAGGCAGAGGCAAAGCGGAGTCCCTGAGCACAGAGCCCTCGCCTGCCAAGTCAGCGCCTAACCACCATGGTGTGGCACCGATGTCACGGCTATGCCCTGCTCCCTCCCTGCGCTTCCTCCCTGCTCTCAGTGTCACTCAGGAGCCAAGCAGGAAGGGCTGACCTGGGCTCCTCCCCGAGGCGTGTTATCTGGACAGCGTCAGCAGCCTCTCAGCTTCTTATCTCTGGCCCTCGGAGACCAGGAGAGGAGCAAACAGCAGCTGCTGATCCTCCCAGGAGGGGCAGCCAACAGCATGCGTCCAGGGTGGCCCGGCTGGGAGACGGCACCTGCCACTGAGGTGGGTGCTGCCGCTGACCAGGAAAAGCATGGGGTGGGGGTGGTGGGGGGAGAAAAAGCATCATCACTGGCTGATGCAATCCAGGGAGGCTTCCGAGAGGAGTCTGCACTCTCCCTGGGCTTTGAGGAACCTGCACACGCAGGGAGGGCATGACAGGCAGGGGACTCAGCACGAGGCAAGAAGTGAGAGCAGCAATGCTCGATGAAGGAGCCTGAAGCTGTGTGACCTGGGCTAAGTGGCCCAACGGCTCTGTGCAGGTTTCCTTGCTTGCAAAATGGGAATGATCGCAGCGTCTGTCGTGTGGGCTGCTGTGTGGTGAGGAGAAACATGGCGAAAGCCAACAGCACGCCACAGCTGCTCAGTCCTAGCCCCGCTGTGCTCCTGGGTGCTGGCAGTGGGGAGGCCACGCTCAGAAGGTGGGAAAAGCCAACACCTACTCAAAGATGCCGAGTCTGTGTGATAATCCTCGAACAACCCATTTTATAGATGAGAACACTGAGGGAACACAAGGTCGCCAGGCTAGCAGCAAGTCAGGACAGAGTTCCGGCTCAGGTCTGGCTGAGTCCAGCTCTGGGGCTCCAAGGAAAGAGGTCTGGGTCCCAGGAGTTTTTGGAGGGGAACCCCTGGCAGCCAAGGGCTGTCAGGTTAGAACAAGACAGAAGCAGTGGGGACAGAGGAGATGGCACCAGCTAGAGGGAAAGGAGGTGGGCCTTCTACAGCCTGAGGTCCAGAGAGGGCAGGGCACCTGTCCAAGGTCACGCAGCCCTCCTGGAGCAGGCCAGAGGGCCCGGGGAGCTGGAGAAGCGGGCAGGAGCTGGGCCCCAACCGGGGCTCTAATGCAGGGTGAACCGCATACTCTCTGAGTGTCGTCTGCTGGCAAAGCTGTGGGGGGCTGGGAAAGGCCCCTCCCTGCCCTCGGCACCCCCAGCTAGGGTAGGGTCCAAGAGCACAAAGTCAGGAGGACCCGGGGGCGCCCCCTGCCCTGAGCCAGCCTGCCCCATCGGAGACACTTTGCTGACCCCTTGTGGCTGCACAGCGTCTAATTCCCACGCCGGCTCCTAAGAGCCCTGCCCAGCGGCCCAGCAGCCCAGCGGCCCTGGGGCCAGGTTCCAGGCTTCTCCCTGTGACCCCCAGGTGCACCCAGACCAACCCGGGTGGGGGTAGGGGGGCCTACCCGCTTCCCGACCTCCCACTTACCCCCTCCCAGAGAATCGAGATCCCACTCACATCGAGGGGCATTGAAGACCGCGCTGCGTGCCCTGGGGTGAGTTCTGACAACGTCCCGAGCCTCTGTGTCCCCATACGTAAGGCAGGTGGTAACGATGGCTGCCTCTTCGTCAAAGGACACTAAGGAAGACAGTGGGCAGGAAGCCCCCAGAAGAGCATCAGGCACATGGCACGCATATGGGGGGGACAGGAAATGGGTCCCCCTCCCCCTCCTGACCTGGGCACCTGAGCTGGCTCTCTGGGGAGCAGAGCCCTTAGGCGCTCAGCTGGGCTGGCGTCCTTTAGACCTGAGTCTTCAAGCCGTGTGTCCCAGGGCTGCTGCAGGATCTCTGAGCTCGTGGATGAAGAAACATGGGACACGCAGGAGGTGCAAACTTAACCAAGAAAAGGTTTATTAGGGGCTGCGGGAGTGGCTCGGGAGGGCTCCCACGGGCGGCGGCCTGTGCAGACACACAGGGCAGCCTCCACCATGTCCACAAGGGCGTCCGTGCACCTCCCAGGGCTCCCTGGGGCCCTCGCAGCCCCCGCAGGCCGGAGCACCTCAGCTCTGGCCCAGCTGCGTTCTCAGAGCCTGCAGCTCCCGGCTGTTAATGTTGTTGCCCCCACACACGATGACCACAACTGGAGCCGGGGCAGGGCGCAGGCGGCCTTCAGCCCGGAGTCTCCCCAGGAGGCCGGAGTAGACGGCGGCCAAGGCTGCCCCACACGCGGGCTCCACCAGCATCCGTTCATCGTCTGGGGACGGGGGAGCAGACAGGGGCAGGAGGGACCCGTCAGTGCCCGGCAGGGTCTGGGCACTGTGGCTCCATGCAGCTGCCCACCCACCCAGCCACCCGGCCACCCAATCATGCACCCATCCATCCACCCACCCATGCCCCCATCCATCCACCTACCCACCCGGCCACCCAACCATGCACCCATCCATCCACCCACCCACCCGGCCACCCAGCCACCCATGCATCCATCTCTCTGCCCACCCATCTACCCACCCATTCATGCACCCATCCACCAAGCCATCCATGCCCATCCAGCCACCCATCCACCCATCCACCCACCCTCCCCCACACCCAGCCATCCATCCATCCACTCATGTCATCATCCGTCATTTGTCTCTCTCTCCATCCATCAACCCAAGCATCCATCTCTCCGCCTGTCCATCTTTCCTCCATCCATCCATCATCAGACTGTCCATCCGAGTAGCCATCAATCAGTGTATCCACCCATCGATCAACTACCCATCAATCACCCATCTCTCCAGCTCCATCCATCACATGACTGTCTGTCCATCTATCAGTATGTCCATTCATCCATGTGTCCATCTACCCACCCATCCATTTCATCAGTCCACTGCCCCATCAATCCATCTGTGCATCCCTCTACTGTTATTCTACTCTCCACTCACTCATACATTCGCCCACTCATTCAACAAATATTTATCGAGTGGCCCCCTCCCTGCCAGGATTTGTGCTAGGAAGACCCTGGGACACAGCAGCCCCCTCCCCCAGGGAGCTCACAGCCTAGTGATGGAGCTGGAAAAACACCAGGCAGTTATGAGCCAGGGGACTGGTGAATAGGAGGTCCCCAACTCAGGTGGGGTAGAGGTGGGAGAGCAGGGGAGGCTTCCTGGAGGAGGTGTCTTGATGACTGAACAGCCTCTTCAGTCAAATGAAGCTGGTGGGGAGTAGGGCTAGGGAAGGGATCAGGGGGAGGAGTAGCTCTGACCAAGAGCTGGAGGCTGGAGACCGCGCGGCACACTGCACCCCACCCCTCCAACTACTTCTTGGCACGTTGTGGGCTTAATCCATGCACACTCAGCCCTGTGCTGAGGACACAGACAAGAGCGAGCGTGTGCTCACACTGGAGGGGCAGGGGCCTGGATCCAGCTGGTGGACGGACCGAGGGCTCAGACATGACGGGGGAGGACGTGAATGGGTGGACAGGTGGGCAGAGGGTCTCTGAGCCCAGGTCGGGGCAGCGTCACTCACCCAGGAACTGCTGCACCGCATACACGGCCTCAGCGTCCTCCACCACCTCAGAGAGGATCTCACACTCCAGGGCACACTCCAGGGCCCGGGCGGCCACCGTCTTGGCACCCAGGCTCTTGGCCACGCTGCAGGAAGGAGCAGGGGGCAGGGACAAGCTGGGGCAGAGTCGCCTCCCCACGCAGGCACAGTCCTCCCCCTACCATGCCAGGGGCTGGAGTTTGCATTGCAAGGTGCAGAGAGAAGATGCACGAATATTGCCTTTGACTCATTGTGTGGCGTCTGCCCCTCTGGCCCTACAGCCCTGACGGTGCTGGTCCTCACGCTGACCCCAGAAACCCTTGCATAGAAGCTGGGCAATGGTTCAGGCCCGTGAGTCCCCGGAGGAACCTCCAACCCCCAGGGGGCCAGGGCATAGCCTCGGGAGCCAGGCTGCCTGGTTTTGAATTGCGGCTCACACTCCCTGCGCGACCCTGGGAGATCATTCGTCTCTCTGGGTCTCAGTCTCCTCATCTGAGAAATGGTTCTCAGGGGCGTCCTGAGGAGTGAGTTACAACACCTGTAACACCGCGCAGCAAGTTCCCAGAGCAGCGTCGGCTGTGGCTGTGCTCATGGCTGGGGCTGGCAGGGGAGGCGGGGATGGGCGCCCAAACACAGGAGTGGTGAAGAACTTCCCAGCTTGGAATGTGGTATGAACGACAACATTCGGAGGGGTCGCCCCAAGGAGAGGGTGGTGGGGGGCCTGTCTCTGGTGACTTTGCCGCTGAGATGTGAGTGCAGAGGAGAAACCAGCTGAGAGGAGCCGGGCAGAGGGGACAGCCTGGGCAGAGAGAGCACCCGCGGAGGGCAGTGGAGGACGGCCAGGTGGCTGGGGCACAGCGAGGGGAGAGCCAGACCTGGGAGCTTCGGGCGGCATTGCTGGGTGGGTGAAGGAGGAATCCTGCAGGGTAGCCATGGAGGGAGGGAAGACAAGGGGCTCAGTGCACCCAGCAGCTGCACCCCTGGGACCTGCTCCCTGGGCAATAACAATGCACCTCACACAGACTCCCAAGAGCCCCAACATGGACCCAGCCCAAATGTCCTCTCATCAGCTTCTGGGCTGACAACCCAAGTGTGGCCTTGGTTGGACTAGCAGTTGGCCATAAGGAGGAATAAAATACCAACACAAGCCCTGGGGCACGAGGTGCTGAGTAGAAGAGACCAGACACCATAGGCCTCATGCTGTGTGACTCCATTCCAACAAAATGGCCAGCATATGCAACTCAATAGAGAGAAAGTACAGGAGTAATTGTGGGGGCAGGGGTGGGGGGCCTGGGTGATGACGGTTAAGGGTGAGGGGTTTCTTTGGGTGTTATGAAATGTTCTACAATTGTGCTGATGGTTGCACCATCAACCGCTGGATTGGTTAATTGTGAGGTGTGTGAGATAAAAATGTTATTGGGTGGCACAGGAGATGGGAGAGGGCATGAGGATGCAGTGGGGGACAGGGACAAGGACTTGGAAGGAGCTGGATTCTTGGAGAAGAATGGGGAGAATTCAACAAGGGAGAGGGAAGCACCTTCCAGCCAGAGCACTTGGATGGGTGGTGGTGACGTTTACTGAGATGGCAGGTCCACAGATATCACCCAATGCTTCTGCTGTGAATCCCAACCTCTTGAACTATATGATCAACTCGTTCATTCATGTCACAGACATCTGCAGAACAACTGCTCTGTACCAGGCAGATTTCCACTTCTCACTATGCATGCACGGGTGAAAAACTGGGGAAAATGCAGCCAGTCTGACCTCAGCCTTTGATGCTGGAGTTGAGCGTGACCTTTGGTTTTCTGCTCTTATTGCTTGCCTATGTTTTCTAACTCACCTGCCACAAGTACAAACTGTGCTTGCAATAACACAGACCAGTGAACGCTGGTCTTGTGAATGGATAAGGTGTAAATAGATCATTTCCCTCATCCACCTTCTTGGCACAGCCTCCGACTCAGATGCACATCACTGTGGTTAAAGTCCCACAAAGAGGCCCTTTTGGGTGCCCCCCAGCAACCCCCCTACCATGGTCCCAGCCTGAGCTTACCTGGTGATGTCTGGCAGTGTGACCAGCTTGCCTGCCTTTGTGGCCGCGTTGAGACAGTGTGCCCCACGGGTTTCCATGGCGATGATGGGCACATGCTGCCAGCCCACCTCCACCAGGCCAGTCACCACCCCGAGCAGGAGTCCCCCACCCCCCACGGCCAGCACCAGGGCCGCTGGCGGGGTTCCCAGGGCTGCCTTCAGCTCCCGCACCAAGCTGGCGTTACCTTCCCTGGGGAGTGGGTGGGAGAAAGAGGCAGGTGAGTGAGTTCTCAGTTCTGGAGGCTCCCAGGGTTGGGGGATCACAGAGGTGGGCTCCCCACCCCACAGGTCCCTAAACCCCAGCCGGGGGAGAGAGGTTCTGCAACGTTTGCTTCACCCAGGGTCTACTCATCCCCCTTATTCTTTCATTCACTCCCTGCCCCTCCCCTAAGCTCCTTGACACTTTTCTTGGGCACTGTCTTATGGCATCCCTCCCCCCAACAGCTTTGCAAAGAGGCAGTGTTAGTGTGTGTGGTTTCAGCAGGACCCGGACACCACTCAGAACCACCCTGTGACTCCAGGGTGGTCTCTGACATGTCCTAGCTGTGTGATCTTGGGCAAGTTGCTGGACCATTCTGTCCCTCAGTTTCATCTTCTGTGAAATGGGCATAGTTAGCACCCACCTCGAGAGCTTTGGGGAGGATGAATGGAATAGTGCTAGGGCAGCTGTTGGCCTGTGCCTGGCCCCTAAATATGTATTCAGTCAGCTCTCTGACTCTCTCACTTCCAGTTTACTCCTGTGGGAACTGAGGCACGGGGGGAGGGTGCTTTGCCCAAAGTCACACAATTCCCAAGCATCAGAAATGGGGTCTGGACACAAGTCTGGTTTTGAGGCCTCTTTTCTCTGTGGGCAATGAGGGTGGAGGCGGTGACCCAATCAAGGCCTCCCAGCTCCCAGAGCAGGGCAGGGGGGGTGGATACCAGCCTTACCATATCAGGGGGTGGTCAAATGGGTGGACATTCACCCAGCCATCCCTCTTGGCTAACTCCTGTGCCCTCACATTAGCCTCATCCCAGACCTAAAGAAAAAGTGACAGCTCTCAGAACTGGGAGCCAGGCAGCGCGAGGTTGGAGGAGGGATCGGGAGGCTCCTGAGCTCAAGACCAGGCACGGACCGGTGGCCCCCTGGAGCAAGGACACACTGACCCTGGGTGGGTAAACAGGTGCCACGCGCTCCCGCCATCCCCACAGCCATCTCGCTGCCCTGCCATGTGGTGGATGGAGCCGGAGAATCCCAGGCTGGCCATGGGACTTCCAATCTTTCCCCCCGCCCCCCTCAGAACCACGCATCTGGGCCTCCCTCTTCGTGTCCCCACCCCCACTGAGGCCAGTCTCAGCCGTGACACATGGTGGAAGTGACAGTGCAGCCGCTCCAAGCAGAGGTCTTGAAGACGCCATGCATTTCTCCTCACCCCTCTTGCCATGAGCTTGAGAGAAACATGCCCATGTGGCCACACGCCAAGAAAAAGGAGGGGCCCTTTGTAGAACTTAACCTTGGCCAAGGCTGAAGCAGAACCTCGCCTGGCCACCCACGGACTCCTGAGGAACAGCAACACTGTTTCTCATCAGCGCTCCTCATGGGAGCCATTGTTACACAGCATGGGTTAGCAGGATGGCTGATGAAAACACTCTGTGCTTCCCCCACCACAAACGCATCCCACTCTGCTGCCCTCCACCGTTACCTGTGAGGCTGCACACAACATCCACACTGCATGGGCGTCAACAGCACGCTCTGTTGTCTCTGTATCCCCACAACAGCCTAACATAGGCACAGAGTGTGCGTTTGATGAACACTGGATGGATGGATGGATGGGTGGATGGGTGGATGAACAGGTGGATGGGTGGATGGGCAGATGGATGGATGAACAAATGCTTGGATGGGTGGATGAACAGGTAGATGGATGGATGAGTGGGTTAGTGGACAGATAGATGGACATACAGGTGATGGATGGTTAAAAGGATGTATGAATGAAGGGGGGAAGGGAGGGTAGGGAATAGATGGATGAAGGGAGCGAGAGAGGGAGACCAGGTGGGTGGATGGATGGAAACAAGCAGAGAAGGAAGGAAAGGAGGGCGGGAAGGGGGGAGGGGGTGGGGACTGCCTACTCTAGGTATTTGCAGAATCATTTTCAGGGACCATGGAAATGCTTTTCATGTTAATGCAACGAGGTTTTTGACAACCTGTTCACCCTTATTTGAATGAATTTTTCCTTCTCCCCAGGAAGGAGAAAGATTACATGCCCATGTCTCTATTTTTTATTTATTTATTTTTTTTATCTTTTTGGTAACAAAGTGAACGAGTGCTAATGTGATATCCTTATCTGTGTGCCTCTTTCATATTGGGGTGGTCTCAGAGTAAGAAATGATGTGGCCTGGGCTGGTGTTGCAGTGTACTGGGCAAAGCCACCGCCTGCAATGCCGGCATCCCATATGGGCGCCAGTTCGACTCCTGGCTGCCCCTCTTCTGATCCAGCTCTCTGCTATGGCCTGGGAAAGCAGCAGAAGATGGCCCAACAATTCGGGTCACTGCACCCACATGGGAGACCCAGAAGAAGCTCCTGGCTCCTGGATTCAGATCAGCCCAGCTCCAGCTGTTAGGGCTATTTGGGGAGTGAACCAGCAGATGGAAGGCCCCCCTCCCCCTCTCTGCCTCTCTGTAACTCTGTCTTTCAAATAAATAAGTAAATCTTTTTTCAAAAAAAAGAAATGATGTGGTCATTATATTTCTCCTTGTTGTCTTGTCAAATGGAAACCTTTAATTATACCGAGTGCTGGTGAGGGTGCAGGAGCGAGACCCTCCCCTGCTGACCACTCGCTTCCTGAATTTCCTGTTCCGTGCCTGGAGGTCTCCTCCGGATGGGGAAGGCACCACACAGCTCCCCCCCCACTCACTCCCACCCTAAGAGAAGACAGACCCTCCCCCAGTTCATCAAAAGGAAAAGGAGACAGATCTCCGGGTGGGGCGTGTGAGGGGAAGCGCCCACTCCAGCCGGCTCCGCCCTTCCGGGGGTCCTTACCTTTCCTGCCAGCTGAACCTCAGCCCCTTCGCCCTCCAGCCTTCTCACCACCTGCGGGGAGGTGCCCTCCGGCAGCACGATGGTGGCGGGGATGCCCAGCTTCCGGGCCACGTAGGCAGCGGCGATGCCTGCATTGCCTCCTAAGAAGGCGGCAGAAGGAGCATGAGCCGTGGACACCCCCATGCCCTGTGCTCCATTTCCCTGTGGTCACTTCCTCCCCAGGGTCACCTGCCCCGCTGATCACCCTCCCCTGAGCCACAGGTGGCCGCGTGCGGTAGACAGAGCTGATCAGGAACTCTGTCCCCGCCTCCATCCATGACTGGGATTTCAGCGTCACCAGGGAGAGCGGCCACCTTCTCACTAGGGTTGTGGGACGGTGGCTGGCGAGCCTGCGGCTTCCGGGGTCTTTTTGACATCTCCAGCTAGCTCCTCCCCCACCCCAGGAGGCAGGGCAGGGCGGGGTCACCTGAGGAGCACACCAGGTGTCTGCATCCCTTCTTGACCATCTGGGGAGAGAGGAAGGGGGTTGGACACTAAGCCAAGCAGGCGTCATGGAGAGCAGAGCCGGGGCACCCAGAGCTAGACACCACTGCTCAGGTGTCCCCGCCCCCCTGCCCAAGCCCCGCCCCCTCACCTCCTGGCAGAAGTGCCCGATGCCCCGGATCTTGAAGGAGCCGACGGGCTGCATGTTCTCACACTTGAGGAAGACAGCGGTGCCCGCCACCTGGGACAGCGCCCAGCTCTCCAGCAGGGGTGTGGCCACGTGGAAGGGCTCTGTCTTGCCGTGGCTCTCCATGCTGTCACTGCCACCCCCAAGGCTGCAGGAGGACAGGACACGCACAGGCCGGAGCAGCCCCTGGGGAGTCCCCTAAACCAGGACAGAGCGGGGAGAGCTGGACAGACCCTCAGCTTGGGTGCCCTCGCCCCACAGCTGCCAGGCAAGTACCTGCTGCTCCCCGGGCTTCCCAGGGAGGTTTGGGCAGGAGGCCCCACCTGGCTGAACCATGGCTGCCCAAGGGGCCAGGAGAGGGAATGCAGCCAACACATGGTGATGGGCAGTGAGAGAGCAGGAGGACTCGCCTGTCCCTCACTCACACGTTCACTTCAAAACCATCTGCCGAGCACCCACCGTACCCCGAGCCCCAGGAGGAAACCGGTTAGCGGAGGCCACACCCAGCTGGGCAGACACGATCCCTGAATTCAAGGAGGAGTGACATGGGGAGGGGGCGTATTTTGGCACAGATAGTCAGGAAAGATGTTTCTCGAAGAAACATTTTTAAACTCCTATTATGGGCCGGCGCTGCGGCTCACTAGGCTAATTCTCCACCTGCAGCACTGGCACACTGGGTTCTAGTCCCAGTCGGGGCACCGGATTCTGCCCCGGTTGCCCCTCTTCCAGGCCAGCTCTCTGCTGTGGCCCGGGAGTGCAGTGAAGGATGGCCCAAGTGCTTGGGCCCTGCACCCCATGGGAGACCAGGAGAAGCACCTGGCTCCTGCCTTCGCATCAGCGCGGTGCGCCGGCCACAGTGCGCCAGCCCAGCGGCCATTGGAGGGTGAACCAACGGCAAAGGAAGACCTTTCTCTCTGTCTCTCTCTCTCACTGTCCACTTAGGATACCCACATTCCACATGGGTGTGCCCACCTGAGTCCCTGAGACCCCACTTCTGATCCAGCTCCCTGCTAATGCACCTGGGAAAGCAGCGGAGGGTGGCCCAAGTCCTTGGGCCCCTGCACCCACGTAGGAGACCTGGACAGAGTTCCTGACTCCTGGCTTCAGCCTGGCCCAGGCTGGGCAGTGACCACTTGGGGAGTGAACAAGTGGATGGAAGGTCTCTCTCTCTCTCTCTCTCTCTCTCTCTCTCTCTCTCTCTCTGCTTTTCAAATAAATAACTTTCTTTAAAAAAATAAAGAACTTTGTAAAAAATGCAGTCACGTGATTGTATACATTTGCTGTATACATTTGTTCAAATTCATTGAGCATTCACAATGAACATTAACGAAGAAAGGAGTAACTTGTTCATTTATTTTCATCTTCTTGCAGAGTAGAGGAGGGAAAGATCTTCCATTCACTGGTTCACTCCCCAAATGCCTGCAACAGCCAGGGCTGGGCCAGGTGAAAACCAGGACGGTGGAGCTCCATCCAAACGTCCCCCATGGGTGGCAGGGCCCACATCTTAATGTGGTGCACGTTAGCAGGGAGCTGGAATTGGGAGCAGAGCCAGGACTTGGGCCACAGTGCAACACTTAACCACCGGGCCAAAACGCCCACCCCAATAATGTCAGAGAGCTGGTCACTGTTTACTCTCTCATCATCTCATTGAACGTAATAAAAGGGGGAGGAGACAGTCGGTCAGGGTGTGGCTAAGGGTTGGGGTCTTGAACAGTTGGAATCAGGTGCACACTGGATGCATGCATTTTGATTGACTGCAAGGATTTAACTTCCCTGTGGTCTGTTAGCTCTCCCAGGGGGACCTTGGAGACGGATGACACGGGAGCCCAGGGAAGAGCACTGGTGTAGAGGGAACAGAGGGAGAAATGAACTTGGGGTGCTGCCCAGGTGCAGAGAGAAAGGGATGGGGTGGAGTGGGGGGAGGGGGGAGGCAGGGGAGGCTGGCAGGGGTGCCGCACATGGGGAGCTTCCCTCTTACTTTCATTCTGCTTGCAGCGGGAAGCCACTGGTGAGCGAGGGACTGGGCCAGTGGGTAAGGAAGCGAGCGAGGAAGTGAGGGAGGAGGGAAAAGGAGCTAACAGCCCCCTTTTTCTCAGCGGTAGGAAAACCCTGGGCCCCTCACGCAGTTCCACTATTGGCCACTAAGAGGAGCGCTGCACCCTCACCCCCTCACAGAGACCCAAGCTCTCCTCCATATGAGTCAGAGTTCAGGAGCTGGGCCGGCGTCCAGGTGGTGCTGGACTCCCCGGCAGGGCAAAGCCTCAGCCACGTGCACCCAGCCCCAGCCGGAGCGGCTCCCACGTGGGCGCTGAGAGAGAGGGGCCCATGTGTCTCCCTATTCCCAAACCCAGCACAGCCTGGCCTGGAGCCCAAAAGCATGGGTTTTAGGGTGGACCGGAGACCCAGGGCTTGTGTGTGTGATCCAACTCATGTCTCAACACCTTCTCTTCCTGCAAAACAGGGATAAGTACTCTCCTAACCCCCGGGCCAGGGTGTGGCACAGCTGCTATTTGTCAAATCTACCTCGTGCCAGACATCGGCTGTGTCTTCTGCAGCCCCGACCTCATGGGGACCTTCGACGCCCTCACTCGTGAGTGTTCACATCTGTAAGGCACAGGCCCTGGCACGGGAGCTGGGCGTGTCACAGAACGGTTTAGACAAACATGAGAATCCGGAATGGCAAAACTGCAGAGGCCAGCGCCGCAGCTCACTAGGCTAATCCTCCGCCTTGCAGCGCTGTCACACCGGGTTCTAGTCCCGGTTGGGGCACCGGATTCTGTCCCGGTTGCCCCTCTTCCAGGCCAGCTCTCTGCTGTGGCCAGGGAGTGCAGTGGAGGATGGCCCAGGTGCTTGGGCCCTGCACCCCATGGGAGACCAGGAGAAGCACCTGGCTCCTGCCATCGGATCAGCGCGGTGCGCCGGTCGCGGCGGCCGTTGGAGGGTGAACCAACGGCAAAAGGAAGACCTTTCTCTCTGTCTCTCTCTGTCACTATCCACTCTGCCTGTCAAAAAACAAACAAACAAACAAACAAAACCTGCTGAGAGAGACCTGTGTTCACAGGGAGACAAAGAAGCCAGGGACGGACGTCAGGGTCGGGGGTCAGGAAGGGCCTCTCAGAGCGGGAGACTGTGAACACTCAGTTCTGAAAGCGAGGACCACCAGGAGGGCCCGTGCAGCCCGGGTCATGGCGAGGCGTCACTGGGGCCACAGAGTCACGCCGTGCCTCCGTGCTGACACAGCACAGTAACAACCAGTGTGAGAGCAGGCACTGGGCCAGGCACCTGCGTCTCATCTCACGGGATCCTTGCGCTCCTATGAACCACCCTTCATCGCAACGAAACTGAGGCCCAGGGAGGTGGAGTGGCTCATCTTGGACCACACAGCGCCAAGTGGCACAGCCAGGATTGGAACCCAGGAAACCGTGCTCATAACCGGCGTGCTTCGCTTTCTCTGATTCATTCTCATTGTTATTACCCGTCTGGCATTTAATCCGCAGCTGTCCTTCACCCCCAGGAGCCAAGTGCTCCTGGCTCAGTCCCCCGGCCTCCTCCAACCTCTTGGTCACACCTGCTGCCCACAAGGCAGACAGCAGGCATCAGTGGAATGAATTAGCCTCAAGTCGCCGACAGCGTCGTCAACCCAGACCCCGCCGGCCTGGGCCAGGGATGCACAGCTCTCGCCCAGCATGGCCGCCCCTGGGGGCAAGGGGCAGCCCTGGGAGCCCTGCTATGGGACGAGACGGTGGATGGCACTAGGCTCAGGCGCCAGTCCCTGCCACGCGTGACCTTGGCCGAGTCCCTCTCCCTTGGCCCTGCGTTGGAGTAAGGACGCCTGCCTTTTCCACTGCCTCACCCCCAAGGTCTTGACCCAGAAGCCGCCTGGCCAGCGCTGCAGGCCAAGTGCCCTGGACCAGAAAGCCCCAAGCTGGCCCACGGGGGCCCAAGGCCCAGCTCTGGCCTGCAGGCCCAGCCCCTGCCCCCCCCCCCACAGGGCCCTGAGTCTGGGGTGGGGGCTGAAGCTCCCTCCCTCCCACCTCTGCCTCTATCCCCTGCCCAGACTTGGCCCAGAGCTGCCCAGACCACCCCACATTCACACTCACACTCCTGCAGCCCCAGGGGTCCCACGGGCCCCAGACCCCTTACCTCCCTGCCTGAAGTCCCCGGACTACCTCGGCCAGTGCCAGTCCTGCTGCAGGCTGTCCCTGGGGCACAGGCTCTGCCTGGCTTCCGGCTGCCTTGGCCCCTCCTCCCGTGTTAAAGGGACAGTGCCCAACTCTAGGGCTCAGGGCAAAGACAGAGGAGGAAGGAGGTCCAGACCAGCTCAGGGCCTCCGCCTGTGACTCATGCATTACCTGGCCCCATTAGACAGATGAGAAAACTGAGGTTCAGCGAGACAGGGGGGCGACTCAGAGAGGGGCAGAAGCCTCCTTGCCTCTAACCTGGCCACCTGCTCCGTGGCACCAACCATCTACACCTTATCCAGGTCCAGGGCTCATCCACACACCGGGCTGCGTCCCCTGAGCTACTGCTGGGGTCAGCTTGGGCCTGAGTCGGAAAAATGAAGACAAAGAGCCCTCATCTATCTGGGGGGAGGGCGTGGCTTTCCTGAAGCTCCTCCCCCTTCCCAGGTATTTCACACTCAGTACAGGAGCCCAATTATTACTCAACAATGATTGAATGAATGAATAACTGTTCATTCATTTGTTCAATGGATATGGCTTGGACACCTGCTCCGTGACAGTGCCTGGGACCTTTGGCCCCAACCAGGATGGCCTGGGCCCCACCCCCCACCCCTCCACCCCCAACCCCCCCCACATCCCCCGCCAAGCCCTCTGCTGTAGAGAGGTCTAATCAGGGCTATCAGGCCACAGGAGCCGGAGAGGGCAGGGCCCGGAGCCCAAGCAGGGGCTGGGGGCTGGGCAGGAGGCAAAGTCTGCGCTGAGTCAGGAATTCCTTCAGGGAGTGGAGTCTGAAGTTGGAGAACAGGGGGTGGGGTCTCCGGGCCTGGAAGGGAGGTGGCCAAGGGGCGGGGCGACGCTGCCAGTCCTGGGTCTGGACCTGTGCCTGGAGCCGGCGAAGGCTTGTGGCAGGGCAGCGCTGGGATGGGCTGCGTGTCCCCTCTCGGCCACCATCACCCTGGGGACACTGGACTCAGTTTCCTGCTCTGGCCAGTCCCCAGTCCCCACCAGTGCACACCCTGGGAGGCAGCAGGTGATGGCTCCAGCAGTTGGGTTCATGCCACCCATGTGGGAGACCCGGATGGAGATCCAGGCTCCTGGCTTCAGCCTGGTCTGGCCCTGGCTGCTGTGGCCATTTGGGGAATGAACCAGCAGATGGAAGGTCTCTCTCGCCCCCCTCTCTCTATCTCTCCTTCTCTCTCACTCTCTCTCTCTCTCTGCAATTCTGCCTTTTAAATAAATAAATAAATCTTTAAAAAGAACAAAAACAAGGGGCCAGTGCCATGGCACAGTAGGTTAATCTTCTGCCTGCAGTGCCGGCATCCCATGTGGGTGCCAGTTCTAGTCCCAGCTGCCCCTCTTCTGATCCAGCTCTCTGCTGTGGCCTGCGAAAGCAGTAGAAGATGGCCCAGGTCCTTGGACCCCTGCACCCGCCTGGGAGACTGGGAAGAAGCTCCTGGTTCCTGGCTTCAGATTGGCGCATCTCCAGCCGTTGCGGCCATTTGGGAAGTAAACCAACAGAAGGAAGACCTCTCTCTCTGTCTCTTCCTCTCACTGTCTGTGACTCTACCTCTTAAATAAATTAATTAAATCTTAAAAAAAAAAAAAAAAAGAACAAAAACAAAGCCAAGGTGAGCAGGGGCTGGTGTACGGGGCGGCACAGGTACTGGGCACCTCCTCCCAGCTGGTGTGGACCCAACACCAGAGGCGTCATCTCAGCCAGGATGCGCGATGAGAAGGCCTTGAGTTTATTTGATGATTTCCTCACGCTGATGCAGACACACAGACAGAAGATCTGAGCAAACTGGGGACAAGCAAACACCCAAACTAAACAGTGGCTACGTGCGCAGGACAGAGCGACGCAACCAAAGATAAACCTGGGCGCACGCCAGGCACAAACCGGCACCTGCACGGAGGCATCGGCACTGTGGGTGCCCGCTCGTGGGTCACGGGCTGGCAGTACCCCGGTCTGTGCACCTCCTCCCCAGGGCCTGCCGGCCAAGGTCAACAACAAGTGTCGCCTGGCGCACGTCCCATGGCCTCGAGGAGATGAGCGGGCGCCCTGGGTGCACCCCTGGGGCAGGAACCCACGTCAGGGGAACAAAGGGCGTGGGTGCTATCCCTGTGCTGCCTCCTAACTGACCACCCTGACACCGGGGCGCAGCCTAGCCGGGGTCTCTGGACCTCTGCCCGCTGGCTCTACGGTTTTCATTTCCCTTTCTGGACCACGAAATCTACTCTGAGAAAAAAGGCATTTTTCTTTTTGCAAAGTAGTAAGATCTCTTCCAGGAAGATCCGGGGCAGGAAGAATCTTCTGGGAGGTGTTGATGTGATGAGATGTTTGACAATTGTCCTGAAAATGAACCTTCATTTACAATATCCCTAGATTTGATTGTAATGGTATTTATTTATTTTCATTTTCTTTGAAAGGTAAAAATGTTACATAGAAAGTCAGTTATGAGCTTATGTGTGTGTGACATAAAGGCCTAAAGAGAAGACATCTATATCCAGCATATGCTGCATCTCAAGGTCGTCCTGATGGTGTTTCAGGGGCAGCCCGGTATTGACATCCTGCCCTGTCCTGCCCTGCCCCCTTCCACCTGATAACCTGCCAGGTGGGGGGGGGGGTCCCCACCCCTTCTGCCTGACAAATCTTCCACCATCTCCCAGGTGCAGCCCAGTATCTGCATCTCAAACACCCTGCTCCCTTCCTCCTGTCTGATAACATTTGCATCCAGAAAGTCCTTTGTTTCAGACCTTCAAGAGAAAACTCAGGGAGAAGTTTGTTAACATTTGCATCCAAAAAGCCCTTTGTTCCAAGAGGAACAGGTGGGGAAGCAAGACCCATCTTAAAAACCCCCGGCCTCAACCGGACTGCGCACTCAGCCCTCTGCCTCTCTGCTGAGTCACCCGCCTGCCTGGCCAGGTGTACTCTCTCCACTCAACCATGTAACCTCGCTCCTCTCCACCCCCCCAGTCCGAGTGACTGGGCACCCTCTGGAGAGGTGCCCATCCATCCTTACGGATGTCCCTTCCCTAATAAGCCTTGCTATTTTACCTCCCACTACTCTCTGTCTCACGCCTGAATTCTTTCTTGCGCGAAGACAAGAACCCTGCAATTTCTCTGGTAACAAAAAGAGAGAGGGAGAGAGATCTTCCATCTGCTGGTTCACTCCCCAAATGCCCACAACGGCCAGGGCTGGGACAGGCTGAAGCCAAGAGCCCAGAACTCAATTAGGGTCTCCCACGTGGGTGTAGGGGCCCAAGGACTTGGGCCATCTGCTGCTGCTTTCCCAGGCACCTTAGCAGGAGCTGGACTGAAAGTGGAGCCGCCAGGACTCGAACAAGTGCCCATATGGGATGCCGGCGCTGCAAGCAGTGGCTTAATCCACTATGCCACAGCACCAGTCCCCAGATTCCTATTTTTTTAGAAAAGATTTTTATTTATTTGGAAGGCAGAGTCACAGAGGGAAACACACACACACACACACACACACACACACACACAGAGGCGGGGGGGGTGTGTATCTTCTATCCACTGGCTCACTCTTCAAATGGCTGCAATGGCAGGGGCTGGGCCAATGAGAAACCAGGAGTCTGGAGCTTCTGGGTCTCCCACATGGGTGCAGGGGCCCAAACATTTGGGCCACCCTTTGCTGCTTTCCCAGGCGCATTAGCAGGGAGCTGGATTGGAAATGGAGCAGTCGGCACTCAAGCCAGCTCTCTGATATGGGATGCCAGTGTCACGAGCCATAGCTTGTCAGGGAATGTCCAACCGCCTTATCAAACAGGCCCATGGCCCAAGGCGTGGCTCCATCTCCCCCAGGCAGGCCGCTCCCCTCCACCCTATGCCCCCCACCCCATATCATAGGGGTTATCACTGGGCAAACGAATGAAGGTCAAAAACATTCTTCAGGCCAACCCCTCCCTCCTCGCATACCGGGAAACTCCCAGAGGGGCCAGCCCCTGGCCCAGGTATCTCAAAGGACAAACCCTGGGGCAGTACGGTTTGTCCCCTCCCAGCCTCAGGCTCAGGAATTGCCTCCCTCCAACGAGCAACCCCAGGTAGCGCAGGATTGGAACTCTGTGCCGCCTCCGATACAATATTAGATTCCACCCAGGGCCCCCAAATTATCCCTACAGGGGTGCAGGGCCCCTTGCCTTCAGGTACCTGTGCTTTTATTCTCGGCCAAGCGTCAGCCACCCTTAAAGGCATTCAAGTTTGTCCCGGTATTATTGACGGTGACTTTACCGGGGAGATAAAAATTCTGGCAGTCGCTATTAATGGGGTGGCTGTCGTTCCACAGGGCACCCGTCTAGCACAACTGGTTCTTCTGCCTTTAATTACTGGAAATACATCCTCAATTTCTTCCAGGCCCCGAGGTATTACCCCTTGTTGAGTTGTATGCCATACTCCAAGTCTTTACACAGTTTTCCAATCAGGCTGTAAATATTCATACTAATAGTGCATATGTAGCTCACTCCATTCTGTTGCTTGAGACTTCTCCTTTTCTTAAAACAACTTCCAACGCTATGCCCTTGTTTATACAAATTCAAAAGCTAATACGAGAAAGACAACAGCCCTTCTATTTGGGACATATTAGGGCGCACACAAGCCTACCAGGATCACTCTCAGAAGGTAATGCCCAGGCAGATGCTGCTACAAGGCTCACCTTCCCCATAATTGTGAGATCAGTGCAGGAAGCTCAAAACTTGCATAGGTTGCATCACTTAAATACTCAATCTCTCCATTTGTTTTGTAAAATTTCACGAGAACAGGCTCTTGAAATAGTCAAAGAATGCCCCTCATGCGTTACAAGCCAACCTGTACCGCATTTGGGAGTCAATCCGCGTGGTCTTCTCCCTAATCAACTGTGGCAAATGGATGTCACACACTTCCCAAAATTTGGCAAACTAAAGTATCTCCATGTCTCTATAGACACCTACAGTGGCTTTGTCTTTGCCTCCCCCCACATAGGAGAAGCTGCTAAGGATGCTACCTCGCATCTTATCACAGCCTTTTCTGTCCTGGGAAAACCTGTTCAAATTAAAACAGTTGATGGTCCTGCCTATGTCAGTACTAAATTTCAACAATTTTGTGAAGCACTCCATAATAGTAGGTTAGCCTCTTTATGCTCCTAACTCCACTGTTTTTGTATGTAGGGATA